TACTGATACCAGTTTGAGGATAAAATAGTTCTTAATGATAAAAAAAACAATGCATAGTACAGAGTTTATATCAGCATTTGACATTTTTTGTTTAAAATATGTTCAAATTACATTAAATGGTCATGTTCTCCCTTTTTAAATATTTATATTTAGGAATCTGAAACCAAAGATACATTCAGTACCATCAAATTATTGGATTTAAGTTATAATTCAGTATAATCTATGGAGTGAATATTACTCCATTATTATTGCGAGTAAAATTGAAAAAAGAAAAACAAACATTAAACTTATTAATCCAAAAAAGGATTTGAGAGCCAGTTTTTTTTTTTTTTTTTTTTTTTTTTTAATGCTTCATTTTTACATTTTTACAAACATATAAAAAATAAAAATTCCAAATTTTAATTTTCCAATTGTTCAGATTGAGCTCCAGGAGTTGCTTTATTTTTAAATTGCATTTTACAGATCCTTTACCAATAAAACTGATGTTGCTAACAACAGAATAAAAAATTTTAAAAAATTGTTTGGAAAAATGAAAATCTTCCAGTTTTTTCCCCGATATCTTCAGATCCGCCACTTTATTCAAATGTATAACCATAGTTCCCTCAACTACCTGAGCATTGAAACTTATTGGTGTTATTCTTAAGATCCCCATAACTTCAAAAGGCCTAATCTCAAATTTATATAAGTCAATTATGTCATTTACGAGACAACATCAAGACAAAATGGGAAGAAGATTTAGTGACAGTCATTCCTCCCCTGTACTCACTATAGTAAAGTCAGACTTGCTAAAATATACCCTGAAATAGATGGGAGGTGTGATCGCTGCAGAGCCACCAACGCAGACTTAGCTCATATGATCCGGTCGTGCTCTAAGCTGGGAGAGTTTTGCAAATCAGTATTTGGGATTTTGAATGCTGCGTTTGGCCAACATCTAAAGCCTGGTCCTTTAATGGCTATTTTTGGGGTTGATGCTGCGATATCTAACAGGGGAAATGTTATTGCCTTTGCAACTCTGATTGCTCGAACGAGAATACTGTTAGAATCCCAATTACCACCGAAGGCATCAATGTGGCTTTCCGATATGATGATGTTACTAAATATTGAAAAAGTAAAACCTTTTCTGAAAGGATCAACAAAAAAATTCTTCAAAGTTTGGGACCTTTTACTGGGTTATTTTGACAAACTTGCAACTCTTTCTTCTCACTAGTAAACAAATCAGCATAAAGTACTTTCATTGTGGGATAACAATCTCACTCCAGCCCCACTTTTTTTTCTTCTTTTTCTTTTCTCTCAATTTTTTATTTATTTAAAAAAAAAAGATTTCTTTTTTTATAATAAAAAAAATATATATAAAAACTGTTGAAATGCCGTGTAGCTCTTGTTATATTTTACACTGTCATCAAATGAAATGTAACAAAACATTACGATCTGAATGGCATTGTACGTCTGATTTAACAACAATAAAAATATGATTTTAAAAAATGAAAAGAAAAAGAAAAATGAAAATCTGAGAAAACAACAAAGTTACTCGTAAAACTTTTTTTTTTTTTTGTTATAAACTTTAATTTCTGGATTTTTTTATTTTCCATTCCATGGAACAAAATTCATTTAATAATGTGAGACCGATTCCTGAATTTCTCCAATCACCCCATCTTTCCTCCCATCCAAAGGTTGTCTGTTTGAGCGCATAATGAAGCTTTACTGTGAGGCTCGGCCTAAAGCTGGAGCATAAAATCACCACATATGGCTGACTGGGTTTTCTGCGACTCATAACCTTTGAGTACGTTACAAAGAGGCAAAACAGCTTCTTATTTTTCATTCTTGTTGTCCTACGTGTTCTGTGTCACCGACGCTTTTTTCCCCTCCGCTGCTTGACTCAGAGCAGAATTAGCTGAATTAAAACAAGAAGCTTCAGTCGCTGCCGTGAGGCAGACACCCTGTCTACTTTTAAGGCTAGGCTTAAAACTTTCCTTTTTGATAAAGCTTATAGTTAGAGTGGCTCAGGTTATCCTGAGCTATCTCTATAGTTATGCTGCTATAGGCTTAGACTTTTGGAGGACATAGGGACCCCCATTTCATCATTCTGCTTCATTCTCTCTCTGTTCTCCTATTCTGCAGAATCTGTTAGTTCAATCTCTAACCTTCTGCTCTCTCTGCTTTTCCTCAGAGTAGCTTTGCCTCGTCTGTTCCTGTTTGGCTGTGACGTCATCCTGGAAAGAAACATCAGCTGTGCTGCTTCTATCAACACCCTTGTTTATAGATGTTGGAGATCGGCCTGTTTTCCAGTGTGGTCCTGTTTCTCTGACCGTGACTGAGTGGATGTGCTTTCTTCGTCCTCTGGCATGGGAGCTGCCTTGGAGCTCGTCTGCCTGGCTGTGTGTTTCCTGGACGGGGCCGCCTTTTACAGCTGCTTTTTGTATCTCTGCTTCTGTCTCCTTGAACCCCAGTCGGCCTCGGCAGATGGCCGCTCACACTGAGCCTGGTTCTGCTGGAGGTTTCTTCCTGTTAAAAGGGAGTTTTTCCTCTCCACTGTCGCTACAAGCATGCTTAGTGTGGGGGATTGTATTTGAGTCAATGAGTCAATGCAATCAACTGGTTTTCCTTAGATAGAAAACTTTGTATCAATTTGATCTGGTTGAACTGTAAAGTGCCTTGAGATGACATGTGTTGTGAATTTGGCGCTATATAAATAAACTGAATTGAATTGAATTGAATTGTTTGAAGTGTGAGTAAAGACGTATTATGACTTCTCCCTTAAAGGTCAAGTTGAGCCACAGGCGCGATTAAGTGTGCCATTTGGAGGGGGGGTTGAAATAACAAATCTGTCCTCACAAATGCTGCTCAGGCTATGCTGGGTTCTCTGCTTGCTTTGCTTTACGGCCTATTTTAATTCTTCTCCTTACCATCAAGAGGAACCAAGAACAAAATGGCAGAAATACCCACATTTTAGATTCTTTTTAAGACTTTCCATTCCGCCATCATAATCCGAACTGGTCTTAATTATGAGGCTAATGTTAGCTTAGTGGATCTGAGGGGGTCCCCACCCTCAGGCTTAGCCCTAACCTGCACCACCTGGTGGTTTAGCGCTCCGCCACTCGCTGTGTGAATATGTCCTGTGAGCCAGAGGTCCCAGAAATCCTGAAACAGCCAACGTGGACGAGAAGCGACCGTGAAGAAAGCGAGCACCGGCTTTGATTAAGAATGTTATTGTAAAGAAATCTGTCTTCAAACAGAGAGGAAAGGCTGCAGAGGAGAGAAACACAGAAGGTCCTGAACGAGGTCCCAACCTGCTCTTTCACCTCCAGGCTAATTTGTTTTTCTTAAAACAGATCGGCTAAACCTTCAGCACATTGAAGCAATGACCTGAAGTGTAAATGTTCAGAACTGTTTTGATCTACTCGCTAACTTTTTGGAAGATTATTGAGCCAGTAACCCCTCGGCCACCCCCATCCACCCTGCCCCTCCATCTTTGCCTGTCTTTTCAGATTCATTAGTATTCCTCGGTTTTTCTTCCTTCGTTTTTAGGTTTGACATTGTCTTGGCAGAAAGGCCTGACACAAAAAGTTCACTGATGTTAAAGGTCAACCGCAGGGCCCCAGGAGGGAGCAGAGCTTTAGATCTCCCTGCATATTTATGATCCTGCTTCTGTATTATTTCCATAATCTTATGAAAACATTCATATTGTTTGACAAATGAGCATTTTCGGCCTGAGTTTGGGAAAGATATCCCACCAGTTCCTTCGCCTTTTGCACTGGATGTTTACTGGTTTTGGGGGGGGTCGGCCGAAACGTGCTGCTCAGTTTAGATAAAAAATCACCCAAACTATTGCGTAACAGAAAAAGCAATTGAAGCAATGATCTGCAGCCAGAGCAGATGTGATGCAGCTCCGCTTAGTTTAATCTTAAGACCCACATTATAAGGAATTTTATGGGAAAAAAGGGTTAGAGTATCGTCACCACTCTAAACTGATTCTGGATGCAAAAAAAGACAGGGCAGCGTCTGTTTATCGCTGTCACTCTGCGGCCGTGTGTTTACACCCAGCCACACACATTGACGGGCTCCTCTGGGGGGGGTGGGGGGGGGGGGGTATCTAACCTAAACGGCCGAGAAGCGCCTCTCGTTCAGATGTGTGGAGAAAAAAGCCTCCACATCTAAGCGCTGAAATACACACTGGCATAGCAATGTTCCACATCAGCTGCCTTCTGCCAGCTGCTTTATTGTGTGAAACCTTCTGTTTCTTCTTTAAAGTATGGAGTGAACCTTGTTCCGTTATTGTTGCGAGCTAAAAACACATTTTGTAAATAGAAATAGAAAAAAACTCAACAGATGTTGTATATTTACATTTTTAAAAAGCAATACACGTGAAAAAAAAATGTTTGTCAAAAAACTTTATCTTGATTTTCTTAATTTTTTTTCCACATTTATTTATTTTGTTTTATTTTATATTTTCAAGTTATTTATTTTGTTTCCCCAGACTGAGTTTTTACAAATTGCATTCTCCTCTCTAATGGTCAATCTGTGCTTCAAGAACAAGCGTTTGTTTGGGGCTTGAGGTGAAGAGAATATCGGTGAAACTCAATTTTAAAAAAGAATGCTAAAAATAAAACTCAATCTTAAAAAGTTATATTTTTGGGAAAAAAGGAAAATATAAAAACTGTAAAAAAAAAAAAATCATAAAAGCATAAATGAGCATACAAAAATAGAATATGAATAAGAAATGTGAAAAAGAGAAAACAGCAAAGTAATTATCAAAACCATTTTTGATTAAAATGTTTTTCAAAGTGTAATTTTTTAATTGCACTTTTTTAATATGTCAATTTAAAATGTTTTTTCATTTCTAATTTCAAATTGCAGAACATGTTATATGCTTGCAAAAATAATGGAACAAAATCCATTCTATAGAAAAGTGAGCTGCTCCATAAAGATCCTGCAAAAAAAAAGAGAAAAGAGAAAATTGGTAGTTTTCTCTAAAAAGATTTTTGTTTTCTTCTTTCTTTTAGCTCCTGCACATCTGCATCGAGGGCTGGGGCAACTGGCGCTGGTCTGAGCCGTTCAGCGTGGACAACGTTGGGACTCTGATCCGGACCATTCAGTATAAAGGACGCACCGCCTCACTCATAATCAAGGTGCTGCAGCTCAGTGGCGTCCAGAAACAGGTACTCTTAATCCTAATAGAGCGTTAGGAATATGTTCAACACGAACTGCTCTAAGTATAGATAAAAGTTTTAAAGCATGAAGAGCGTAAACATCCTCAGTCTTCCAGTGCCAAACCATAGATGGGAAATCTTGCAATAAAAAGCAGGAATCAGCCATGATTTAAGAGCTGCTTAGCTAACAACCGAATGTTTTCTGTTTATGTCAATTTGTCCTCATCTGGTTTGCAGTAATAAAATGGGTTCCTTCAATCCAATCAGCGGATCACAGGGAATCAAAAGCTGGATCACAAACCGGCTTCCTGCTGCGAGAGCAGAGACGAATCTTATCAGAGTTGTTTTTAGTTTTATTTCTGAAAATGCAGGGATGCAGTAGTAGCATTCATAGCAGTGACAGGTTGTCATGTAAACACTGCCAAATGTCACACACGCCTCCCACTCATCAACCTTAACTGGATTAATCCTTTCAGTTTAGCCTCAATCAGATTACAGCATATAAACCCCCAGCAGTCCCTTCCGCTGATGTAGTATTAGGCATAACTAGAGGTAACTTTACGTGAGCAGAAGTATAGGTACTTAAGGCTGGGCGATAACACAGCTTTATCGTTTACAAAGATTACATTTTATTTTATTTTTTTGGAAAAAACCAATTCAGTTTTTGCACTTAAATAGCTCAGAGTGACATTAGTTCATCACTTTTCGTTCTTAGATATCTGATATTCTGCTGGAGGTTTCTTCCTGTTTAAAGGGAGTTTTTCCTCTCCACTGTCGCTACAAGCATCCTTAGTGTGAGGGATTGCCTTTGAGTCAATGAGTTGATGCAATCAGCTGGTTTTCCTTAGATAGAAAACTTTGAATCAATCTGACTGTATTATCTGGTTGAACTGTAAAGTGCCTTGAGATGATATGTGTTGTGAATTGGCGCTATATAAATAAACTGAATTGAATTAAGCTCCCCCTCTGTGTGATGCCACTCGCTCCTAACATGTAGTTTGTTATATTTATGTTGTTAGGTGTGAAACACAATTATTTTAGATGTTTCACGGTTTGAATTTCGTTCACCTCCCAAATCGATTTATCAAATTTGATAGGGATAATCTGAGATTATATTTCTAAGCCATATCGCCCAGCCCTAAGACTAAGGTGAAAGTAAAAGCACTGATTGAACTTCTTTACTTAAGTAAAAATAAAAAATACACGCTATATGCTGTAGGGGAGGGTGAATGTCTTGCTTCAGGATCTTTATCTGCAACGTTTCCAGCCCCATGTTTTAAGTTTTTTCTGTAAAAAAAACTGGACTCTATCTGGACAGATTGTCTCTTGATTCTCCCTTTTGATTTGTTGCAACATCTCCACTTTCTAAGCATCCTCAGAAGGGTCATTCTGAAGCGATATCTGCTGTGTTTCTCATTGGCCAAGGTCATGCATTTACAGACTCACGCTCTTCTGTGAAGTTGCTAACAGTTACCTTGCTTCTTTGGAGTTAACTATGAGGACTACACTAGTGTAATGTGTATTTTTTCAGTTTTGTGGCTGCAGCCAGATGTTGTCCAAGTAGCAGACATCATTAGCTTCTCACACGTAACTTTTCTTCCAGATAATAATCTGCGGGCGGCAAGTGATGTGCAGCTACCTGACGCAGGACATCGAACTGCGGGTGGTGCAGTACTACGTGGGAGCGGACGGTCAGACGGTGGTCAGAGAGCACTGTGACTGCCTGCAGGCGGGAGCTAAACTGCCCTCCTATGTGCTGGAAGATGCAGAGATGACTGAGCTGTGCATGAGAGCCCGTGGAGACGAGGACTGGTCCCAGGATGTTCAGCTGGAGCAAAGGGAAAAGGGCAGGAGCAGCAGCTCTGTTGTTCAGGTAGATTTTGACTCAGAGGCCTTTTTAAATTGGACTAACTGGTGCACGGTGGACGGTGGTACCGACTGCAGCCAATGCTTTGCACACAGAAATGTCCAAATGTGGTAGCCAGACACAAAGAAGTACACAATGCATACAAACATTGCACACACCAGGACTAGCTCTGTGTCCACACGCATGTTTGGAACTGGCGACCGGACCACCAACCGTGACCGGATCCTCTTCTTCTGGGTGGCCACAGTCACTGAGCTTCCATGTTGGCGCTCGCTGTTAGGAAACAGATTGAGATCTTCCCCTCAGATAGGCTTACAAAGGCCCTGCAGCCCATAACCTGACCATGTTGAGAGGTAGAAAATACAGTTTATGCTCTCTCATAACAACACTAACCATGGACAGGAAACACTAGCTGATATGTGGGCACACAGAGAGGCTTTGAAGCCACTTTCGCACCGCTGGATGTTCGCCAGCTCCAACCCCTCTGTTCCTGCTCTTCACTTTTCCTCTTTGGTTTCTCCTTTTAGCCTTTTTTTTCCTCTTTTGAATTTGTGCTGTGTTGTTCAGAGCTACTCTGGATGTAGGTGTGATTATCTCTGAGAAGATAGAAGATGTATTGACATCAGAGGACAGATCCTCTGTCCCCGTCCTCCTTCTAGAGCAGCTAAACCATATTTTCATTCACTCACCTTCGGTTTTAAAGTCCACCTTTATCTAACTATGCCGTTTGTCTGCAAATTAATATTTACAACCATTCTGTCATAGTTGGTGGAGGTTTTTGAGGACCCAAATGCAGAGACCAGAGGTGAGTTTAGCAGGTTTAATGAGGCAGAAATCCAAAATAACAAATACAGAAAGCCAGGATCTAGGGGACATCAGGGAAAACACACTTGAGGAGCCAGGGAAAGACGAGGAACCAGCACTACATTGGAAAAAATAAAAATTTAGATAACTCATTTTTTCTTAAAATAAGTGCATTTGTTCTTGGATTGAGGATGTAAAAGAGACATTTTACCAGTGGAAGAAGACAATTTAAACTTAAGAAAACACAATTGCATTGTCTTATTTCAAGTGCATATTATCTAAAAAGCTTATTTTAACTGTAAAAATAATCATTCCATTGGCAAACTGACATTTATCTACTCAAATTAAGGTTAAATACACTTAATTTAAGACATTTTACGTATTTCTAGATAGTTTTTCCAGTGTGAGGACCTGCACAGGGAGAGTATATATGGGAGACAGAACAAAGACTGGACTAATGAGCTGACAAGGAACAGGTGTGGATGGAAGCAGCTAGAAGGAAGCCAAGGGGAAGGAAACAAACACAAGGCAGGAACAGAGGCTATGTTCACACTGCAGGCCTTCGTGCTCAATTCATTTTTTTCATTAAATCCTATTCTTTTGCGTTGCCGTTCACATTTCCAAATATATGCGACTTGTATGTGATCTCTGTGTGAACTGTAGTCATATAACGCAAGCGTCCCATATGCGCAGTAAAGGACGCAATGACGTCACAAAAACAAGCGTGCTCTGTGTTTACGCAAGTAAACATGGATGGTAGTGCCAAAGCGCATCCAGTGATATTAATAATAATACATTTTATTTAAAAAGGCGCCTTTCTGGACACTCAAGGTCACCGTACAAAAACATAAAAAGTGTCAGAAAAATAAAAATTATAATTATAAAGACATTTAAAAACATTTAAAAATACAGAGGCTGTGACAGTGAAATTGATATTTTTAAAGAGAATAAGCAATCTTGAACAGATGGGTTTTGAGTTGTATTTTAAAATGGAGAATTGAGTCCGTATTTCGAAGTTGGGGTGGTAGAGAGTTCCAGAGGCGGGGGGCAGAGCGGCTGAATGCTCTGCTCCCCATGGTGGTGAGACGGGCGGAGGGGACGGACAGGTGCAAAGCAGATGAGGATCTAAGAGCACGGGCGGGGGTGGGAACATGCAGGAGGTCTGACAGATATGGGGGGGCAAGATGGTGAAGTGCCTTGAAAGTCATCATGATAATTTTATATTGAATGCGGAACTGTATGGGGAGCCAGTGGAGCTGTCGGAGGACCGGAGTGATGTGGTGGATAGAGGGAGTTCTTGTTATGATTCGAGCAGCTGAGTTCTGGACCAGTTGTAGTTTGTGGAGTGATTTCTGAGGAAGTCCAAAGAGGAGGGAGTTGCAGTAATCTAGTCGGGAGGTGACAAGGCTGTGCACAAGTATGGCAGTAGTGTGTGGGGTGAGGGAGGGACGGAGGCGGTTGATGTTTCTTAAGTGGAAGTAGGCAGACCGGGTAATGTTATTTATATGGGATTGGAAAGATAGTGTGCTATCGAGGATGACACCCAGACTCTTAACCTGGGGGGAGGGGGAGATGGAGGAGCTATCAATAGTGACTTGGAAACTGTCAGTTTTGGAAAGAGTTGATTTGGTACCAATGAGGAGAACCTCGGTTTTACTACTGTTTAATTGAAGGAAGTTGTTGGTGAACCAGGCCTTTAATTCACAGATGCAATTTGTGAGGGAGGCGGGCGGAAGAGAGGACGATGGCTGCGTGGTGAGGTAGAGCTGGGTGTCATCGGCATAGCAATGGAAGTGGATATTGAATTTACGGAAGATATTGCCAAGGGGAAGGAGGTAGATGATGAAGAGCAGGGACCCCAGAACAGAGCCCTGGGGCACACCTGAGGTGACGGGGGAGGGGGTGGATTTGAGGGTCTTCAGTTGAATGAACTGACTGCGGTCAGTAAAATAAGAAATAAACCAGTCCAACGGTCAATCTGTTAGTTCAATCTCTAACCTTCTGCTCTCTCTGCTTTTCCTCAGAGTAGCTTTGCCTCGTCTGTTCCTGTTTGGCTGTGACGTCATCCTGGAAAAAAACATCAGCTGTGCTGCTTCTATCAACACCCTTGTTAATAGATGTTGGAGATCGGCCTGTTTTCCAGTGTGGTCCTGTTTCTCTGACCGTGACTGAGTGGATGTGCTCTCTTCGTCCTCTGGCATGGGAGCTGCCTTGGAGCTCGTCTGCCTGGCTGTGTGTTTCCTGGACGGGGCCGCCTTTTACAGCTGCTTTTTGTATCTCTGCTTCTGTCTCCTTGAACCCCAGTCGGCCTCGGCAGATGGCCGCTCACACTGAGCCTGGTTCTGCTGGAGGTTTCTTCCTGTTAAAAGGGAGTTTTTCCTCTCCACTGTCGCTACAAGCATGCTTAGTGTGGGGGATTGTATTTGAGTCAATGAGTCAATGCAATCAACTGGTTTTCCTTAGATAGAAAACTTTGTATCAATTTGACTGTATGATCTGGTTGAACTGTAAAGTGCCTTGAGATGACATGTGTTGTGAATTTGGCGCTATATAAATAAACTGAATTGAATTGAATTGAATTGAACGGAGTGCTAGTGATGCCAATGGAAGAAAGCCTACTGAGGAGGGTGGTGTGACAGATGGTGTCGAAGGCTGCACTCAGGTCGAGGAGGATGAGGATGGTGAGTAGTCCAGAATCAGATGCCATGAGGAGGTCATTGGTGATTTTGATGAGTGCTGTTTCAGTGCTATGGAGTGGCCGGAAACCAGACTGAAATTCTTCATACAGGCTGTTGGCAGATAGGTGAGAATGGAGCTGGGAGGCAACTGTTTTTTCAAGAATTTTGGAGATGAAGGGTAAATTGGAGATAGGACGGAGGTTGTTGAAGTTGGTGGGGTCGGCGCCAGGTTTTTTTTACAATCGGGGTGATGGAAGCAGTTTTGAGAGGTGTAGGGACAGTTCCAGTGGTGAGGGAGGAGTGGATGATAGCGGAGATGAGGGGAGCCAGAGAGGGAAGGCAGGTTTTGACAAGTTGTGTTGGGAGGGGGTCCAGTTGACAGGTGGATGATTTGGATTTCCGGATGAGCTCTGTGATTTCCGAGACAGTGGGAGGATGGATGGAGGAGAATAAATGTGTAGGCGGGGGGAGATCTGCTGAGTTGCTGAGATGAGCCGTTGATCCAAGGTTCTGGTGCACCAGTTAGTCCAATTTATAAAATATTTCCCATCCTTATAAAGTCAATCTTTTCAAGATGGTTAAACATAAATACTGCTCTCAGCATCATTGTCCGCCATGGTTGTTGTTTTTCTTGCCGCTTCTTCATAGCAAGACCCAGAATAGTGACCTTTGTCGGTTACTAATGGTGTTCAGGTCGGATGAATGCGACCTGGTCGTTCAGACACAGGTCGCATTTGAAAAGATCAGATTCGTATCGGATTCAGGACCACATAGCCAAGTGGCCTGAGTCGCATTGGAGAAAATCGGATCTGTGTTGTTCAGACTGTCATGAAAAGATCAGAACGTTCGCATATGGGCCAAAAAATCGGAATTGGGTCACTTCAGACTACACAAAATAACTCAAAAATATAACCAAAAACAACTAGAATAAAACAAAATGGAAATGAACCCAATAAACTAGAAAACACAGAAAGACCAGAATAAAAATTGTAACTGAAAACTTGGAACCTAAAACTGCGGAGTCATGACACACTCACTTTCCCCCTCTCTTTTCTGCAGCTTTTCTTCCTGCTTTTTATTTTTTTAGGAACCACAGCAGGTTATCATGACCTTTCTTCAGCCTTCTTCGTTGGAACAGGCCTCTGTGTCTGTTTGCCAAAGCTATAACCCCCCCACCATACCCAGAAAGCCAGTTGTGCAAATGCTTGTAACATAATGACTGCGCTCCATCGCTGTCCCCGCTAAATAAGGTCCCCTGTCTGTCATAAATCGGACCTGTTATAACGTCTCCTCAGTGAAGAGAGAGAAGGAAACGGGACAAAAACCAGTCAGACTTTAAGGCCGTTTGGTGGGCACATTCTCAGCTTTTAAATCTTACTAATATTACTAATGTCTCAGACCTCCGCCATATTGATGCATCGGGCACACTTTATAATTTTCAAAGTCAAAACATCATAATGTAATACTGATGGAGAGCTGTAAACACAGAGGCTAATGCAGCTAATCTTTCACTCATTCATAATCCCATCCTAAACAAAAACAACTAGAAAAGTGTTATTTTGTCTTTGCAATCCCTTCTAAATGATAATGAAGCTCTAGAGGTGTTAGTAGGTCCTTCTGGTGGTGCGCCTGTTTTTATAAAACAAACTGTTGAGCCTTTAATCGATCAGTGATCTGTTGTCTTTCAGGTGGCCTGCTCCAGCGGATCTTTGCTTTATGTCTGGTGCACTCTGATTACTGTGGAGCCCAACTCACACATGCAGCAGCGGCTGGTAGGTAGCACCCAGCTAACGCTTTATAGCTCCACATCATGATGGTTTTCTGAATATGCTCCCTGACATTCACTCTGTTTTTGTTTCTGATTTTATTGTCATAACTTCTGTTATTGTGATTCTCACTTTGGCTTTTTATTGTCTTAAGATTTAATTTTTATCCAGCTGATTGACCTTAGCTGAGCAATCCTTGGCTAAGACCCATCTTAGCTGAGATTGACACAGTTTCTCTTTTCTCTCAGGTGATTTTCAGTCCCCTGTTTGTCATGAGGAGCCACTTGCCAGAACCTCTAGTTGTCCAGATAGAGAAAAGGAGTCTAGGGCTGAAAGAGAGTCAGCTGATACGAGGACAAGGCCATGAGGAACCCCTCTTAAACACAGAGGCAGAGCTCACTCACCACCTCATTTTCCAGGCCAGGTAATTATGTTATGTTTTTAGCCGAGTTTGTTTCTCCAGGATAACTTGAAAAATTGTTGATTATATAAAATATGTAAGAGGAAAAAGGTTATTTCAAAAAAGAAAATATGGACAAAATTTGACATACAGTAGCCATTCAAAATTTCCCCACTTTCCTTGATGGGTCATTGGCTGGTCCTTAGCTGGTCCCTGCAATTAATTTTAAACATCAATCTTGATACTAAAACATTCTTTTTGTCATGTTTTGTGGACATTATGATCTAAAGAGAAGCGTCATCGCCTGCTCAGACCCTGTAATTCAGTGAAAGGGAGGAGTCAGAGTAAAAATACATGCAAGATGGGGCTGAAAGTTGGAGGGGATTTTGCTGGGAGTTGCAGGGATGTGTGCTGCTATTTGGCTGGCGTTTGACTGGGAAGGGCCATTTTGAATGGCTGCTACTGTAAATAATGATTTGAAAAACAAAATAAAACCTAAGAAGCAAAATTTCTCTCAAAACCTTTTTTGTTTTTGGTTAAGAAGTTTTTTAAATGTTGTTTCTTTTCTTCATATTTCCATTTACAAAACATGTTATTTTTGGTCAAAAAATCACTCCATATACCAGCAGCATGTGGTGTAGCTTAGAAAATCCTATAGTTATCTTACAAAGTGCAGAAAAGCCTCTTCTTTACATCCAACACTATAACATAAACAGATCTGTCAAATGCTCATAATGAAACAATTCCTACTTGCAAATAGGAAACTTCTCTTCCTCCTTCCATCTCTCAGAGCTGCTTCCCAGCCGGCAGAAAGTATCCACAGGAGAATTTAGTTCTTTCACTGCCCGATTGTCTTAAATCATGAGCAACAGGCTCAAACAGCAGCAAAGGGAAACGGTAACTGTGTGTACGACACTTTTCTATGATCCCCTCACAGGGCATTGTGTGCGTTCTGTTTGCCATTAATGAAGACATGATTCATGAGAATCTGCACATTTCAGGGGATCAGTTAGCCGTCTTGGCTGCAGCTGCCCCACAGCTCTAACTCTAGCATGTCAGGTTGGATCGTAATTAAACCTCATTTAGGTAGGAGCAGCAGTGCAGAGCAGCTGACCGGGTGTGTGTGCGTGCAGATGTGTCTGGGAAGAGCCTGGATCTGTGTGTGGTCTGTGTATGTGTTGGTTAGCTAAGCGCTATTGTAAGTGTGACATTTATGGTTGCAGCTCGTCACATGCATCACTGCTGCTCTCTGTCACTCTCCCACGGTTTGCATGTGTGCATATGCACTTTCATAAAAATCTTTTCCATAAATGTATGTTTTTCTTAATAAACGAGGGTCTCACCAAGCTGCATTAATGGTCAAATTTAATCAACAACAAAGAACAAAAAAAATCACCCTTAGAAATGTATTTAAGATTGGTTTAACTTTGTTAGTTAGTGTCTAATAACTTCTAAATCTGGGCTTACATTGTACGATTATTTTGCCCATTTCAGGGCGACTTTCCAGTCGTGCAATAGTTTTCCGATCGGGCCGACTTTCAGCCTGATCGTGCGTTGTGTCGTGTACAGGGGGTAACGAGGGGCGATCATCCTCTCACCACCACCTGCCAATCAGGAATTGTGAGGTCGTGAGAGAATCAAACATGTTTGATTTTCAGTCGACTGTTGTGGGCAAATCGCTCAGTGCGCAAACAAGGATTCTTCTTCTGCTTCTTCCTCTTAGATCAGGGATGTCAAACTGGTTCCAGAAAGGGCCGTGTGGCTGCAGGTTTTCTTTCCAACCAAGCAATAGCACACCAGACTCCATTCATCTCATCAAGTGAGTCCAATCTGAACATGATGACTTGATGAGATGACTAGAATCTGGTGTGCTATTGTTTGGTTGGAAAGAAAACCTGCAGCCACACGGCCCTTGCTGGGGGGGGAACCATAGTATTGCTCAGCCATGTCTTTGTCCAACTACGTCGTCACCTTTCCTTTTTAGGACTTTCAGCTCAAAGTTGCACAAATTGCCAAGGCAGCACGTTTCACTCCAATTAGCTTCATATTCCTCTACTACTGGTTTGGCTTCCTGATAGACGAGGCCCAGTAGTACCATCACATTTTAATTTATTTTTTTTTTTTTAGACAGAAAACTTAAAATTAGAAAACTCAAATGCTCAAAGTAAAAGATTAAGTAAAATAGTCTTATTTTCAGTTATTTTACATTCCACTTTTGGAGAATCATCAATACTTTTGACTGGGGGGGTACAATGTGCAAAGGGTACACAAGTGAAAAAGATTGTTAAACACTGCAGAAAATACAAGCCTCTGAGAATATTTTTGTGAACGGATCCCTCCATGAACCCCTTCTAAAAATGTTTAGGAGTTCACTAGTGGCAGAATATGCATAATGTAGCTAATTTATCTCGCTCTCCGATCCTGAATCCTATAGAAACCCAGAAGATTTAAGATTAGAGAGGAGACAGAAATCTGGATGATTAAGAATTAAATTAAATTCAATTTAGTTTATTTCTATAGCGCCAATTCACAACACATGTCATCTCATAGCACTTTACAGTTCACGAGATCATACAGTCAAATTGATTCAAAGTTTTCTATCTAAGGAAAGCTTTCAAAATAATAGCGTCTGTTTTGTCTTTTTTGAGCCTGAAAATAACTTTTGCACCAGGTGTGATCAGCAGACATTAACTGTGTAGTACGCCGTCGCCATCTGCTGGAATACTTTCTCACGCATCCATCAACTTAGCAGCTTTAGCTCCCTTTTCAGTGAACTCCAACATTCATATTTTTTTTCTATGTGTTACTGATGTGTTATCCCTCCTTTTCACACTCGATCTTGGACTTTTCCACAGTCCTTTCATATCTCCACTCTGGAAATTGCTGCGTTGTTTAGTCATGGAGCACAAAATGGCCCCCGGTCACTTGGTCTTGTTAGGGTAAATTTTAAAAGTTTAATAACAAATGGAGGGAAAACAAAGTGTTAAACCTAAAAATAAGGCATAAAAAACCAACATGGTGCCATAATTTAACTGGAAAGTCTTTGTATGGAACCAAAATGCGCTACTGGAGCAGAAATTCATCATAGTCCATGACTAGGACACTTCAAGGACTTTTTTCTAATCTTTACAGGGAACGGCAATAACAGCGGCCAGGACTGCGCGTTGTTATTTTCTCTAATGTCTACAGTAATTGAGCATCTGTAAGCCTTGTTATTTTATGAGCTGTTTTAGAAAACGTACCGCTCTTTTAGTTTCATTCACTGGTAATGTGAACAAACAGGATAATGGTCGAATGTAACTGACTGCTTCTGAGATATTTTTGCTAACTGTTGTATTTAGATATCTGGTAACAAAGTTTGTTTTGGTTTCAGTTGCAATAAAGGAACCACAGCGGCCATGCAGTCCCTGGGAATATATTTGGCCCATGTTGTTTTACAGAAATCTTTATCATGCGTGCAAAAAAACAAGCTTTGAAAAAAAAACTAATCTAGTCTTGTCTTTCTAGATTGCAACCACAGAGCTCCTTGTATTTACAACCCGTCCCCTCTCTAAACTGCTTCAGACCGCACAAACTTACATTCTCCTCTTTGTTACCCCCCCCCCCCCCCCCGCCTGCCCAACTCAATCCATCGCTCATCCCTCTTCATCCTCTCAAACACAGACTACGAGCCACAATTGTAAACATACACACATGCACAAAGACCCCTAAGCTTAGCCTAAATCTCTACGATAGATCCAATAGTAAATTTTCACTGGTCAACAGCTCCTCTTTCCATCCTGTAATTACACATAGCTGTGGACTCTAATGGACGAGGTAGAGAGCAGAGCTGCGGTCTGCAATGCAAGACGGGTCTTAACCAGAGTTGTTTTGTCCTGTTCTTCTCATCCTGGCCACCACATTAGAACATTTTGGGTTATAATCAGAAGTTCCTCCAGTTTCCACCCTCAGGTCCTGCTCTGGATGAAAAGTTTCCTGTCAGCACCTTTTTCCTCTCCTCTGTCTTGCCTTAAGCTGTAGCCTCTGCCTTCCCTTTTCAGCACAATGGGTTCGGTTAACAAACTGCTGCTCGGGGTTATGGGGGCTGCCTCGCTGAAGCCAAGAAGAACTGGATGCTTCCCAGACAAAGAATAGATGCTATTACATTGTTTAGATGTCGTTCTTTTTTTTTTTTAAGTCTGGTCTATAATTGACCAATAAGGGATGAGGTATCCAATCGGATTATTTACTGCCATTTAGCTCTTTGTGTGATCTTTTTGAATCAGTGTTGGTAAAGCAAGCTGCATGTCATGAACAAAATAAGATTCTCTAACGAAAGACAGATTCAGCCCACTTCAAGGATGGAGGGTAGATGTGGAGTTTAGCCCAAGGTCACAATGGGAACGGTTAGCTGCTGTCAGAAGACATCTTGTTTTATATGAAACTGAAGAGTATCGTCGAATTTGTTCTGCCATGATGTAAGTAAACAAGCTTCCAAGTCAGATTCCCAGAAACACACGCAGCAGTTTTATAGCTCTCATTTCAAACAACGACTTATCACAGCCGACATCGAGAGATCAACTGGAATCAGTTTATCCACTTTTATCATGGCGCAAAACAAAGAAGATGTATGTTTTGACTGAGAAACAAAACTCTGACGGCTCGGTTTTGTTTGTTTTTTTTCCTCAGGGAGGATAAGGATGCTTCACACTGCGCCATACCCATCTCCACCAGCCTGATCAAACAGATAGTGAACAAGACGGGGAATGAAGACAACCCAGAACACATCCTGGCTGATTTCTACAGTCCAAAGAGCACCACAGAGTCGCCATGGCCTTATGTTACCAAGGACCCTGACAGGTACTCACTGCTGAACCTTAGAGCTTTAGTTTAATCATCAGAGAACTGAATTAAAAACAAATGTTATCTGAACCATCTCATTATATCTCTGGACTAGATTGGTTAGATGAGAACTTCATGTTTGTTGCACATTCAGAATTATTTTTGCTTAGAAAATTGAGGATCAGATTAATTCAATACAGTACAATTAAATAGTCAGATGTAAGTAAACATGATTCAGATTATAGAGATTTAACAATACATGTGAACTTATCACAGATAGATGTAGCTCAGCCTAATAATACAAAAAGGCCTCCCAGCTATCGTCAGATTGATTTTTTAATTTCAATTAAATTCAGTTTATTTCTATAGCGCTAATTCACAACACATGTCATCTCAAGGCCCTTTACAGTTCACCAGATCATCCAGTCAAATGGATTCAAAGTTTTCTATCTCAGGAAAACCAGTTGATTGCATCGACTCATTGACTCGAATGCAATGCCTCACACTAAGCATGCTTGTCGGGACAGTTGAGAGGAAAAACTCCCTTTTAACAGGAATAAACCTCCAGCAGAACCAGGCTCAGTGTGAGCCGCCATCTTGTGAGGCCGACTGGGGCTCAAGGAGACAGAAGCAGAGATACAAAAAGCAGCTGTAAAAGCAGAGAGAACAGAACATTAGAGATCTGTAAAATGAGAGTCGGAAACCAAAAATGGACATAAACAAAAAGTATCAACGTAACCATTTCTCCACATAGAGGAGTAGCTATTTCTCTAAGGTGGAGGTAAGCCATGGAGGTCATTGGAACATTTATAGGTTTGCTGTGACTCAGACATTTACGACTAGATTATATCAGCAAAGATAACTATGAACCTGAAACAAGCTGAATAGAAAACGCCTTCATTTAACATGAAACGCAGGTCAGAGGATTCCTGCTACGGCTGTCTGAGCTTCTGCAGGTACAGCTGGGACAAAAAAAAAAAACAGAATGGATGACGTTTTATTTAAAAAATGTTTTTATGTGTTAAAAACAGAGATGGCAAAAGTACTCACTTTCCGTACTTGAGTAAAAGTGCAGATACTTTTGTTAAAAAATACTCTGGTAAAAGTGGAAGTACTGATTAAACTTCTTTACTCAAGTAAAAGTAACAAAGTACAGGCTTGTAAATTTACTTAAAGTATAAAAGTCAAAGTAGAAACCACTTTTTTCATGCCGTTGCCTACATTTTAAATGGATGTCTGCCAATAGGACTAGATCTCCGTTGTGTTCATTTTCAATCATCTCGTCGTCCATGCTACTATGCTAACGCCACCGCCACCAAGCTGCAATGATTCGCCGCCAATGAATACCGCCGAATCTGTCGATTCATCTTGCAGTGGTGCGTCAAATGCAACATAGATTCCCATCCAATTAGATTGAATTTGGTATTGATGACGTGAAAAATAATAACGGTAACTCCATTGAAATGATTCAAAACTAAAGTAAGGAGACAATTTATTAAAATGTAAGAAGTAGGAAGTACAGATATTTGTGTAAAAATGTAAGGAGTAGAAGTAAAAAGTCGCCATAAAAATAAGTAGTAAAGTAAAGTAAAAATATCAGAAAAATCTGCTTGAGTACAGTAACGAAGTATTTGTACTTCGTTACTTCCCATCTCTGGTTAAAAATATATTTGCTCAACTGACAACAAGAATAAATTTAACTATGTCTAAATCCTTCTCATTTTTTAAGCAACAAAAAATCAGATAAATTTTAGAAAATACATTTGTATTTTTTTTTTTTACTGCTGACTGAATGTGCATTTTGAAACACAAACAAATGAAGGAGGAAAAAATTATGTATGTTTCTAGCTGGATTCCCACTCATCATTTCATTGGAGCAGACCACTTCAAGGCCTCATAACCCATCTAAGTCAACATCTATAATTCTTTTTCTGTTTTATTATAGTTCTTCTGTGGCATGCATTAAATCCCAGATTTCATAACACTTTTCAGAAAGACCCCTCCACTGTTTTCTTTTTCTTTTTATTTTATTTTTTTCAAATCACAAGATTCTTGTTGGATTCTTGCTAGAAAGTTGTGCAAGCCTGTCTTTAATGAGTGCAGCTTCTCTTTATTGGTTACTTTGTTCACATAATAAAACTGTTCAGTTGAACCTCAATGGAAGGCCGTGCATCAAAGCCGAGCAGCAATCCCGCTGTTGTCCCCGGAGATTCCGGCTGTCAAGTTTTTACAGACAAATCACACGGCCTAACGTTCAGTAGAGGTTCCTCGAGGTCTTTATACATGAACTTCAGTCTGCTTTCATCTTCTGCTTTTACGGCTGCTTGTAGCCTTGGGATGGCTCTGCATTTATAATGTATAGCGTCCACAAATGTCTCCCTGGAATCCATCTTTTGTCACAAAGCAGTCACATCTTGATGGCAGCGGTGGAAGAACCGACCACATGTTCGACTTCAGGCTTTGGACTCCAAAGAGTCCCAGAGGATCTGTTTGACATCTAAGCCTGTCTGCCTGTGCGGTTGCCTGTAATTCGATGCCTTTCACACACGCACATGCTTTCTCGTCTCGCTGTATGTTGTTGGGACCATGTGTTTACTCCCATTGACTTTCACTGATTTTCATTCATTTTCAACGCTTTCTATAAACCTGACAATAACCCTGAGCTGAAATCAGTTCACACCTCAATTAGAAAATAAACGAGACTCGTTACGTTAGCGAAGCAAAGCAGCATGGATGCACTGTATGCGTAGGTCATGCATGCTGCTTTTTAAATCAATCCAGATAGGTTTACTCTGCTGACTACTTGGAACGACTATGAGCTGGTTGACTGAGAATCTTCACCAGCAGTCTCAATACTCTGTCCTCTGTGAGTCATTTGGACTATTCCAAACATCAGGTAAACATTCAGTAGATATTCATAATAAAAACATCAAATAATTAAACTTTATTGTCCCACAATGGGGAAATTCACGCTCTGCATTTTAACCCATCCCCTTAGTTAGCAGTTGGCTGCCACGGTGCAGCGCCCAGGGAGCAGTGTGGGGTTAAGGGTCTTGCTCAGGGACCCAGAGTGCAGGCTGTGGGGATCGAACCGGGTACTTGAAACCTTCTGAGAGCACAAATACACTGCTCTAACCCACTAGGCCTCCCCTAGTTGAAGTTCGTTCCCTGTCCTAACATATATACAGTACTTATTGTAGGGATTGGTTTTCTAAGTTTTATGTTAAAAAAATTGTAAAAGTATTTTTCTGCATGAATTTATGATATATTTTTTTTGTATTTTTTGGGCATTTGAGTTTTTAAAATGGCAGAACTTGCACATAAAATCTGTTTGCCAGCATCATTTATAAACATTTAATCGGATGTTATTATCCAACAGTTACTCAACACTAGGGCACTGGAAAAATTTGAAATCTAGATAAGTCTTTTTTTCTTAAAATAGGTGAATTTGTTCTTGGATTGTGGAGGTAAAAGAGACATTTTGCCAATGGGACAAGACAATTTACACTTAAAATAAGAAAACACAATTGCATTTTCTTATTTCAAGTGCATATTATCTAATTATTTTATTTTAAGAGTAAAAATACTAATTCCATTGGCAAACTATCTGATTTACCTACTCAAATTAGGGGTAAAAACACTTTATTTAAGAATTTTTTTCCCGTGGGTGACCAGATGTCCTCTTTTTCGCGGACATGTCCTGCTTTTCATACCTAAAAAAATGTCTGGGGGGAATTTCAAAATAGTCCGGTATCTTGGTCGACTACAGTGCAGCAGAACCGAGCCGTAAACTCAGCTTTGAAGTTGGTTTAAAGTTGGATATTCAAGCTCCGCACAGTCAGCGGGATCGAGCAAACGGTTGATCCGACTGAGGCACTCCGATGTCGGCCAGCGTCTCTCAGCTGATCCCTCCTCCCACACGCGGTGGTGCAGTTAGGGACCGTCAACAAATCTTTGATCCAAGCATTCTTGAGAAACAAAAATCAATAAATTCCTTATCTTATGAGCAGCTAAGACAAAACTAATATAAAATCATGCCATTAGATAACATATTTAAGGCACACTTACTTTTATGCAGTTTTAAGCTATTTTCAATTTTTAAGATATTTTTAAAGACAAAAGTTGGGACTTTTCTTTAATATCTTCAAGGTCATGTGACCCTCTGACTCAAATTATTTGTGAAATAGTTTTACTACATTAGCCTGACTAGGCAAAGTCTTTTTTAATTCAATTTCAAGCCTTTGTATATTTTGGCCTTACTCTGCGGGGGGAAGCATACCGTCGGGTTCGGTCGCTCCGTCCCCCCGGCTGGCTCCGGACCGGGACCAGCCCTGGAGCTGATGGCTCGGTTCGAATGCCCTGTCAGGTCCAGTAGTTTAGAGTTTTTTGCTTGAACAGGTAGAAAAAAATTAGTTGGGGTTTTAGTAAAAAATGTATTTTAATGGTCATTAGGAGGTAAGAATTGTTAAATCTTGTTTGCTTCACCTTTATTAAACAAATATGTATCAGTTGTTGGACTCCGGCTTCTCAAGCTGCTGACTTTTATGCATTTGGAAGCCTGAACCTCCAGTGTCGGGGTTTTGACAGAAGCAGTTGAGCACATTTCTTTCAATTACCTTCTTGTGAGCTGTGTAATGTGATTTATGATCCCTGCACTTTTCTGTCCTCAGCTTTGAGGTCAACCACTTATTTAACCACACACAGCAACATAAATAGCAGTAAACGGTAAAGAAAAGCTGTTCCCAGTTTAGGTCCCGTGTCACAGCAGAGAGTCTTTGAGGTGTGTGACAAGTTTGAGTTGGCAGGTTGGTAGCTTGAGCCAATTCCAGGTGGTCCTGTGGGAGAAGGACTGGATCGTATTTATTGGCTTTGAACTTAAGAGGAATTCTGTGGGAAATGTTTGTTTGGCTCTCCTCTAACATTCGGCAATATTTAGGAGTCGTGAGACCACGCTTACTTTGAAATGGCCGCTGTGTCTGTGAATTGTTGGGAAAAGGATTGTGTGTTTCTGTCTGGCTGGCTTCGTGTCGCTGTGCCGGCCGAGTGTGAGCCCAGATGCTTCGTCAACTCTTCTCTGAATCTGTTTGAGTCACATCACTTGTTGACAGGCCGTTTCTCTCCGCGTATTTGTTCCGTCTTTGTGACTGCTGTCGGTTCATTAATGGTCTGTCAGTGTGAAAATTATTTATATCAAACATGTTTAAATCTGTTAATAGAGCCTTGTGTTTTCTATGCGTAATAAAGGTTGGGTGCCAAATAGATTTAGGTTTATGAGTCAATCAGGATGTCCATAAAAATCAAGCTCAGTAATAAAAGTTTTTTCTGCATCTTTGATTTTTTTTATGTCTTGTAATCAATATTCCTCCAAATCAAGCTGCTTTGCCTTTTTTCCTCCATCAGGACAAATAAAATAAAATTCATTGAAGGTTCATTCATTCATTAATACCAGACCGTTTCTATTTCTGTCCCTCTATCTTTTATTTCTTAATTTCATTCATTTTACAACCAAATGTGTTTCTCCTCTGTTTCTAAAGTCCTTCTGCTCTGACAGGTCAGGGCTGGAGCCTCTTTCTCAGTGGGACAGCCCCATGCAGGTGAAACTGTCCCGCTGGAAATCTGGTCTGAGCACTCTGCTGGTGGAGCTCCTGCCGTGGGCTCTCATGGTCAATGACTCCCAGTGGGACCTGTGGCTTTTTGAGGGAGAGACCATCGTACTGCAGATACCAGCCGGCAAAGTCATCGCACCACCAAACTTTAAGGTAGGATTCATTTGGAAATATGTTCAATCTGTTAAAAACTTCTTTTAAAGAGGAGCCTTAAAGAGGTCAGAATGCAAAACCGAGTTTACCTTGTCGTAGATGAATAATGAGTGGGTGAAATGGACATACAGTTCAAGTTCAAACCCCATCAACTCCTCCTTTCTCTGCAAATCTCACAATTCTAAACTTCAACCCAAAAACAGGCGAATTCAAACAAAGCACCAAGTTGACGTAAAGTAGGGTACTTTTGTCAACTCCTGAAATTAACATACAGACCAGCCCACTGGTTCACGGCCCAAGAAAATGAACAGAGGTAGATGTAAGACACCAGTTTAGCTGTTTAGCCTACAGTTGGGTTAACTTCTAAAAGAATTACAAAGCAGGCAGTTTCTCTATTGAAAATGAGTCAGAACCACTGGCTTAAATGCAGTGTTCCAGGCTGCACAGAGAAAGGGGAACATTTTCACAGTTTTCCCAAGGATCTGAAGACTCGACATGCATTGATTATTTTGGTGCATCAGAAGATCCCTGCCAAGTTTGATGCTCAGCTGTTCATTTGCATTTTACTGAAGACGGCTTTCAAAATCTTGAACAGTTCAAAGCAGGATGTGCTAAACTTCTTTAACTGAAACGAGGGGCTGTTCCCACCGTAAGGCCATCACAACCGCAAGCTGGAAGTATGATCATGTCACTAAGCTGTTGATAGCAATGCTAGCATATCAACAATTTGATGTTTCAGTGAGTGAGTGCTTGTTGCTATAATGTGTCTTTGCTCAGCAGCTTCGCTCGTTGTAAACCAACCAATCAGCGCACAGCTCATCTAAATATTCATGATCAAACCATAAAAGGAAGAAAACCTGTCGTTTCATTCTAGGGCTTTTAGCCAGGCTGCATTAGGGCTCATAGAACAGCAAATATGCCATTTTCAGCCCAACCAACGTTACACACCCTATTCAGAGACCTTATAGACCAGCACCAGATATCCTATAAAATCATTCTTTGACCCCTTTAAAATCAGTCCTGTTGAAGCAGAAGTGTTTAGGGTCTTTTTTCCCCAAAAATAGATGTAAGTCTTCGAGGCAAAATATTACTTGGTTTTATTAATTTCCAAGGCATCTTTAAAACAATTAAACTTTTGGTCTGCTGGTACAGAGTTAAGGGCATCAGAATTTATGTTAGTGAAGATAATAAGCGGTGAAGATGAAGGTTAGTGGAAATATTCTACCACAGTAAAAATGTCCTTTAATCCAAACAAAAATCTGGTTTAAAAGAGGAAAGGCAGTGGATCCCATGGAGGGATCCCTGGAAATGGCAGCCATTGTTGTCTGTTTAGATCATCCATCCATTTTCCGTAACACTTACACCAAGTGGGGTCGCAAGGGGTGCTGGTGCCTATCTCCAGCTTTCCACACCCTGGACAGGTCGCCAGGAGAATATAGAGAAGCCAATCAACCAAACAGTCATGTTTTTGGATTGTCGAAGGAAGGAGGAGTACCCGGAGAGAACCCACGCTTGCTCAGGGAGAACATGCTCTATACAGAAAGACCCCGAGCCGGGATTCGAACCCAGAACCATCTTGCTGCAAGGCAGTCGTGCTACCCACCGCCCATTCTCAATAAATCCTGATTATTCATCATGTCTTGTACTTAGCATTTCTTTTCAGAACACATGCTGAATAATATTCCTTAAAGAAACAGAAACATAAATCACTTACTGTACCTGGTCAGGTTCAACTTCTATACAGACACAGTCTGGCTGGAAAAAAGCCTGATATCTGCAGGTTCTGTTTCCTATTCTGCTATTCACACTCTAGGAAGAGCATCTTAGCCTCAGTCTGGGAGTCAGGTGATCTGTTAGGAACAAATCAAAACAAATCTCTGATATACAATTGATAGAGATTTACTATAGACTGATACTGATTTGATACCTTGTTCAAGATGACATCAATTCCAGATAGTAAAGAGTGACAAAAGTTTTTCTATATTTAACACCCAGTGCAATATCTATATATATAAATACCCATGTAAACACCCTGTGCAATAACCCTGTATAATAATCCTGCTAGAAAAAAAAGCTGTCATATGTGGACGTTCTGTATATACTTTATACAGTATATCCCATGCACCTTCTTCTTTGACTATCTGAGCTCATGTAACAAGTCAGTTTCTCCACTGGGAGATCAATAAGGAGAGAAATCGTGCCCTGTAGATGTCTGAAAGCAGAAACCATCCATCTGAACACGATCAATTTCTGCAGTTATTCCTCAGTGCAAATGTGGGGTGGTGGTATTATCATGATGTGGGGATACTTTAGTTCAGCACCAACAGGAGAGTTTTGGAGAGAAAGACTTCAGAAGAGGGCAGAGATTAACCTTTCAGCAGCATAAGGAGCATAAGAATAGAGCTGGAGTTCCAAAAAAATTAAAAACAATCCACTGGACTTTGTTTCAGTGCTTCCCATCCAGGAAGCTTTTTTAATTCAAAATGTCAGAAATAGTGTTAAGTTCCAGGCTCTTATACAGTAGCTCAAAAAAGCCTTTAGAAAACATGCAAATAGAAAACGGACGAACGGGTCCACCCCTTTGGAATGGGGAGTCGTTTGTCCTCTGGAGTGAAGCGATCCAGAAGTACATCTAAAAGAGACGCTCTCGGTCACATGACCCATTCAGTGACGGATCCGTTTTTCTAGAGTTGAGCTAAAATGTGGGTCATGACTTACTGAGTGCTGCTTTAAAACTGATTCACCAAAGCGGGAAGTGAAATAATGTTTCCCAGAACCATTTTATCCAAGCAGGAATCCCAGTAACCATTAACTGGATTATCCCACAAGTCATTAAAACAATACATATTTCACTTTTTTTCTCCCCAAGGTATTTATTTTGATTTCACTTCAAGAACGAGCATCATTTTTATTTGAGTCATGACTGATAAGAACAAAACCTGAGATCATCCAGCAGAGCTGCATTACAACAATATTCCCTGCCTACGTCTTTAAGTAGAGCCAAGCTCTGTCACAGTGCGCTGCAGCCATGTCTTCCCTCTGGCCGCTAAGATCATTGGAAGAAAACAGCCGATGGTTTTCCCCTGCGGAACATCTCACACACAGATCCCCCTAACCCGCTAAGGCCAGTGTATCAAAGGGAAGGCACTAATAGGCCTCAACTCAAAGCAACAGAACATGAAGTTGAAAGTGTGTAAAAGGCTGTCGAATAGAAACAATAAAGCATTGTTTCCATAGCAATACAATGTTTATCAACTGTAGGTCACATCCCAGATCGGCTGGATAGGAGAAGGCTGGTGATTTGATCTGTTTCATGATGCGGTTCAGCCAGATGGACAATCACTGCGTAATTAAGCCACCTTTCATTATGTCATCCCAAAACAGCGAGCAGTGATGTAGCTGCTGTAGTTTTAGAGATGCTCTCCACTGACAGACCTAACCAGGCGACCGTTTCCAAAAAGCAATGAAATGCCAGCTGCTGACTGCCGTTGATGTTTTGTTCCTCCTCTCAGTTTTTTTTTTTTTTTTTTATCATCTTTGTTTTCTTTTACATCAGAAAACGATGGAAAGATTTTCCCTCAACGCTGAGTTCCTGGTGACTGCAGTGTGTTTGTCTGGATAAAAGCCAATCCGTCCTTTTCATTGTTTTTTTTTTTTCTTACTATCCTAGGAAGCTTTTCAGATTGGCATCTACTGGGCCCACACCAACACAGTCCACAAGTCCACGGCGCTGAAACTGGTCCACGACCTGACCTCTCCTCGATGGAAGGAGGGAACAGGCTCTGTGGTGGTCACTCTGGATGAGGAGGCATTCGTTGAGGTCGACATCGCTTTGGGAGCCTCTTCAGGGAAGCAGACGGTTAGATCCTCCGCCGCTTAATGCTTCCCTTACTTAGGGAACATTAGCTTAGTTATATAAAAATGTTAAATCATGTTTCACCTCTTTTGCTCATCAGGAATACATAATCTGTGAATACTGAAATTCTTCTGTGTTCTCCATTAAATGATGCACATATTAAAGCATTGCGGCGGGAAGTCCGGGTGCTGCAGAACCCCCTAGTTGCGAGAGAGAGATAAAAAAAAAAACTATTTTTATTAGTAATACTTTGCAAAATTTATAAATTTCTGATGAATAGTTTGAGAAATGATTTTGACTTTTTTTATTTTACTATTACGTGTATTTGGATTTTTATTTAATCATTTTTAGGCCCAATCAACACAAGTTTACAGAAAATATGTTGTCATGGCAACGTCAAGCAAGATAGTGGTCCCCGAAGATGTATCCCACTCGTGGCAGCGACCTTGTAAATTTACTAATTTCATTTAATTTGTCCGCTCATTAGAAACTTTATCTCCATGACCTCAGAGCGCACCTCATTTGGACACCTGTAACCATGGCAACCTGCCTGTAGCTTTAAGTAAGAGCATGGTGCCGCCATGGACTTTCATTTCTATTCGTGCGGTTTAACGTAACCAAAGTATTTTAGAGCGTTATTTTGATCTTGGGTTTTTATGCAATGGAGAACTGTTCAATAACATTTAAATAGTATAAAAATATAATAATGTAATTATTTTCTAGTGGTTTGCATAAAAGGATTCTGGAGCTAATAGAGTCACGTATGACATAAACACAGTGACTCGGGTTCATGCCAGTTGACCAAATCTGCTTTGTTATACTGTTATTGTGAAGTTTAGTTAATAGCGCTTATATTCACCTGAGAACTGATGTCTGCGTGTTACAGACCCTGGTTGCGTGCATTGAAGTGCATATGACAATAAAATAGTCAATTTCTATTTACTTATTTATCATTATTGTATTTTAAATAGGCCTATAGGCTCATAGGTCTTTTGTCCCAAAAACAAAACATTTTTCTCAATACCCCCAGTTCAACACTGCTTCCTGTATTAGAGCCTTATGTGAGTTAAATTAGCATTAAAACACAGTAATAATCATGTGTTTGTTGGTTTTTCCTGCACAGGTGTGCCAGTTCTGTGTGTCCTCTATAATCAGACATGGAGTCCAGATCCTGCAGATAGAGGACAGAACGATTCTTGTCAACAACACGCCTTACAGCGTACACTACAGGCCTCTGTTGACTAACCGCCACTTAGGTGGCTGTGAACAGGTAGCGTATGTTGCATCTGTTTTTGTTTTCTGACCGTTTAACACAAATATATATATATATATATATATATATATATATATATATATATATATATATATATATGTGTATTTCATCTGGAAGTTGCATGAGAAACACAGAAATGCAATGTTTGAACTGTACCAGGATGTCTTAAATTCTCTAACACCTGCTGCAACCCTGCTGAACTTCGCACATGCATTATATTTGCTTTGCACGTCAGAAACACTCGTCTACCCTGGTACTAATCCCCAAACCTCAGACACGCACACACAAATACACAGCCACACTCGTAGCTGGGATGTTGCAAGCCGGTTTCCATCAGATCATGTTCCCCCCCACCTCCCTCCCTTCCACAACTCTCCCCATGTGGCAATGGCACTTCATAGGGACATTAGACAAACACCCAGAATTGGATGCAGGTTTCTCCTCTTGCTTTCATCTGCTGCCTGTCCCCAAAGAGAGCAGCAATGCTGTGATGTCATTAAACAGTCCTTTAGATCTCCTTATAGAATAGAGGGGAAGCTTGCCAGTTTGCCCCTAATTGACAGAAAAAAAACATGAAAAAAGGGCTTCTAAAAATCTGAAGATTGTGCAATGAGTTTAACAAAAACATATTTCACAAATAAGGCCAGGAATGCCTTTCTAGTTGCTCTATTCATCATGCCTAGAAGTCTGCACCACTCACTTCTCGCTAGCTGCTAAACCAACACAGCAGGACTCCTCTGCTACCAATTTAGCACCAAGTTTAGAACGAAAGGGAATAAAGTAAAATAACTTTGTGGGTTTTTTTGCAGAGTATCGTCGTTTGTAATCACTTGTCTGCTTTGGGTCTTTCTTTTCTGCTTGCTTTAGATATTCTATCTCATTAGAGGCATTTTTTTTCCTCCTTTTGTGCCAGAACAGCCTCTCCACATCCCATACGTTTTTATCTCCTTCATTATTTTAAACATTTTTTGTTTTTCTGTTGTCCTCCAACAAGGTCTGTGAGATACCAGAGAGCTCCGTGTTCACCCTCCCTTCCCGTGATGAGCGCTCTGTGGCGAAGCCGTGCTCCGTGCCATGCTGGGACCGTCTTCCAGTCGGTGTCCAGGGGAAGGCGGAGTTCGCTTTGCCTCTCAGACACATGTGTTTCAGCCTACTTTCAAGGCCCTGTGCTGGAGCTGGAACCGCAGCGTGGAGCATCCTGGCTCCGGTGCGACCAGACCTGGCCCGGCAGAGTCTGTCCATACCGGTGGATGTGGACTCAGGGGGTGGCCTGTGTAGCAGGTGGGTGAGACACAAGCTTGACTGGTTTGCTGGCTGTGATAGCCCATTTAAAGCGGGGCTGGAAGGACTCACCACAGCTAGCTACACTTTGTTAAACCTTGGAAGAGAAATACCATCAACATTTCCACCGTTTAGCTCTCCAAGCTTGTCATGATCGATTGCGTTTTTTCTCTTCTCAGCTTCTTTTACTTTATCATCTTCAGTTTGGGTGTTCAGTTTAGATGGCAGCTTGGACAGCTTTCAGCAGTGACATACACACCGCAACGAACCTATGTTTGTTTTTTTCTGCTCTTCTGGCTTTGATTCAGGCTTCTCTCATTTAGTCTGTTGGCTCACAATCATGTGTAATCAGTACAGATATATGCTGTAAAGCAAAATAAAACACCATCCACAGCAAAGCTGCAGAGCAACGATGTGTCATCTGTTGGCTTCGGTTCAGGCTCGTTCTGTAGGTTTATCTCAGATTCGCAAAAAAAAAAACCGACACAGAGGGGATATGATTTGTAGATGGGCGTGTTGGTTTGGTTACAGGACATCAGGAAGCATGTGTGGACAGTTACGTATGGGTTTGTTTACCCCTGTTTGTGTGTGTGTTGCAGGGCTGTTGTGTTGACGTATCAGGAGCACCTTGGAGTGACATACATCACTCTGAATGAGGATCCCTGTCCGCGCATGATCATTGAAAACAAGTGTCCTGTTTCACTGCTGCTCAGAGAAAACGTCAAAGGTAATCAGCACTCTATTTACTAGTCATTTGATTAGTGAATAGAGCCCACCTCAGTACAGCTGAAGCTGTTTTTAAAGGCATAACATGTTTTCTAAGGAACAAACTGCATCATAAAAAACATTTTAAATGAGATATAAAGAAGCTTTTAGTTATAAAAAATCTTAAAGTCGTAGGGAAATCATATTTATATTTCAAATCCTTCTGGCTTACATGTATATAAATGTGCTTCTTTTTACGCTGGAAGCCTTCTACACCAAACCAAGCTTGTGCCGCCCTGGCGTCCTCTTCCACAACATCTTGGTCCCCGCTTTCCTCCTCTAAATAAAAATGGATGACGGAGGAGACTCATCCACGACCTCCAACACTAAACTCTCCTCCTCTTGCATGTTTTCTCTGTCCATAGCGTTCCTTAACTTTTCGTTTCTAAGTCACCAATTTAGTGCTACTTGGTACCAATGGAATTTCCCATTGGGAACCTACTAGCACTAAGTTGCTAACTGGTTAGCAAGATGCTTCCGACAAACCTTCAGCCACAACAATCCCCCCCCCCTTGATAATCAACAAATCACATTCACTTTATTCACTCGTGTAAAGTCGTGCACCACTCAGGAGAATTCAGAAACGCAACGGTTGGAACGGCCGCTTCCCTACGACTATAAGCTTCTAAAGTCTTAAGGAACTTTGCTCAATACCTCATTTTATGATGGGAAGAGAATAAAGAACTGATGAATCTATAAATTTATCAATGTGTTGCAGAAGTCTGGACTTTATGAATGAGTTGTACAAAGGAAGCCATTTTTATAATCAATTCAAGTCAGTTTATTTCTACTGTATAGCGCCAATTCACAGCACAACTTTACAGTTCATCAGATCATTCAGTCAAATTGATTCAAAGTTTTTTTTCTAAGGAAAACCAGCTGATTGAATCAAAATAAATAATAAATTAAATCAAGCCGTAAAGGTATGGGCGGTTCTAGACAGAGGCCAATGGGGGTCAGTGCCCCTGCAGTTCATGTCGTGGCCCCTGTTATGGCCCCTGTACTGAAGACATAATACTCTAATGATGAAACGCACTGGAACAGACATGGTTATTGATAGGTCCTTTGGATCTATTTCATTTTTTTCTTTAGAAATTCTGTTTGACTAATTATTGAAAAACAATAGGGTTATAGCTTCAGTGGTATTGAGATAGGATCCCAGTTTTCATCTACTAATCTTTTTTTTTCAACTAATAAAAAAAATAAATTTTTTCTAGAGTTCTAATTCAGATTTGATAGAAAATGTTGATTTTAACTTATGTCAAAAATATGTAAAATTCCTAAATTATGAATGTATATTAACTTAATACGACATACAATTTTAATTAAACCTAATTGAATAGAAATTTCACTTCATGCAGTTATATTAATATATTTGAATCCATTGCCCTGTTTTTTATTTCCCTCATGGCCCCCTGGTACATTTGATCTAGAACCGCCACTGCGTAAAGGCAAATTTATGCCACAATCGGGGAAAAGGTACAGATGAAGACTACACCTCATGCTGAACACCCATCCCTGTGGAGGGAGCTTCTGGAGGCACCATGGTTAGAGGTTGTCTGGAGACACTTGCAGCTAAATCTGCAACTTTTCTGGAAAAAAAGCTGCTGGAGCCGAAAATAAGACAGGATTCAGCAGAATGTTAAATCTGCAGTCAGTTCCTTAGAAGTATGGTTGATATAGAGTGGCCTAGTCAAAGTTTAGACCTAAATGCAACTAAGAATTTGCTGCAACACTTGAAAATCGATGCTCATTCCACTCTGACTGAGCAGGAGCTTCTTTGGAAGGAAGAATAGATGCAGGTTCCACCTCTAGATGCGCCAAACTGGACAGAGACAAATCCTCAAAGCCCTGCAGCTGTCTGAGGATCCCAGTCGTTCTCAGGATCAAAGTCATTTCAATGTTTCTAAAACTAACAGAATTTCTATCCGTCACAGAGACGCCGAGGACGGAGGTGTTCTGCCGTCCCCTGCCTGCCAACTCTTCTCTTCACCATGAGCTCTACTACCACTGCTCCGCCTTCCCTGAGTGCAGGCAGCGGGAGGTGCTGCCCACCCTGCAGCTGAAGACCATGTCTGAAAACGGCACCCCCGACTGGACAGACCCCGTGGATATCAACTGTCCGGGCACTCAGGTAAAACTCTGCAAATATCACCAAACTAATATACAGAAGAAAAATCTATGTCCCACATTTTTATATTAATTTCTTGCAGCTTTTAATGTACTTCATTCTTACACCTCCTTAGTTTTTGAGTTTATAGACCATAATCAGAGATGCCCAAAGTCGGTCCTCGAGGGCTGCTGTCCTTACAGGTTTTAGAGGTTTCCCTGCTTTAGCTCAGCTGATTCTAATGTTTGCATTTCAGCTATCAGTGAAAATCAGCTGTGCTGAAACAGTGAAACCTCTAAAATCTGCAGGACAGCGGCCCTTTAAGGACCGACTTTGAGCATGCCATAACTGCTCAGTGCAGCTAAACATCCTCACAGCAGCTAGATGGCGCCAGAGATCTCCCTGCTTTAGAGGGAAAGTTGATGTATTCAGTAATCAGAATGATGAGCAGAATGTGATGTTGCTAATCATCTTTTACCCAAATATTAGCCGCTTCAGTAGCAACAATAGGCTTGTTGTATTCAAGCAATGAAACGTTTTGTAGATGTGCATCTTCATCTCTGGAGTAAAGTAGCAGCAGTTGCTCTTCTAGGCGGTGGAGATGTTTGGGATTAATAAAACGCCGAGAAGTGGAGTGCGTCATGTTTGGTGTTGTGTCTAGGCAGCTGTGAGCTGAGGTTGACACAGAGGCTGCATAGCTCTGGTTACTGTGAGATCTGAATCTGACCTGAGTGGCAGAGGTGAAAGGTCAAAGGTCAGAGCTGTTATGACTGCTGAGAAGCGGTGATCTGCTTCCTTTTGCCGTGAGTTTCTGATGACTCATAACCTGAGGTGGTGAGAGTTAAAGGGAGGCAGGGCAGCGTAACGAGCACTAACCTGGCCTATGACTCTGAGAGTTTAAAATTACCACGGAAAGTTTATCTAAAGTAAAACAAATAAAAAAATGTGTATCTGCATAATTCAAGTCGAACGGTCTGTTCATTTATTCAAAGAAAGGATTGTGTTTTTATTATTGATTAGGTGGTTTTCCTGCCCGGCTTCGGCTGCCTCTACATCCACGTTTGGTACCAGGGAGGCAGCCTGGTTCTGTCTCTGGCTCCAGAAGGAAGCGTGGAAGCTGCTCTCAACCAACACAGCAGGTACAGAGGCCTGGGTTTGAAAAAAACAGCTTTTATGCTCACCCAAAAAAAGAAAACAGCTGTAATGATTATTGTAGAAAGCAATGTTTTTTTTTTTCTTCTATTTATTAGGCCATCATTTCACCACAGGGGGGCAATAAAAGCTCCATCTGTTATTATGACTGAAATAATTTGTGCTGTGGAGCGTTTTATGACAGCTTTATTCCATTACAGACACAGAGCTGCTGTGACATTTGAGCAAAACAGGATATTGATGTAACGGCCTGTTCAGTAAAAGTAAACAAATGACATCAGACTGCCATCTTTTTTAATGTTCTGCTAAAAAATAAGTGATGATTCATCAAACCATGATGGATGTTTCTTATTATTCTATACAGTCAGTCAGTCATGGATAAGATCAAACTTTTGCTGTTTTTTAGGCTGTTGTTGTTTTTGCTTTCAGGCCCTCCAGATTGTCTGTACGAGTCCTCCTGAGTGAAGCCAGTGTTGCATTAAGTGATGATATCACAAATCCCAGCGGCTCCATGGAGCTGCTGAGACTCACGTTAACCAAGCTGCTGCTCAGCCTCGCTCCAGCGCCCACCTCCTTACCCGCCGAGCCGTCGGACGACTCCTCCTTGGCTTCCAGCTCCTTCTCTGTTCTGATGACCGACGCGTCTCTGATTGAGATCTACTGCTACAGTCTGCAAGTTGACAACCAGCTGTACAACCGGACTAGTTTCCACTTCCCCGTCCTGCTGTGCCAAGATCAGAGAGGAGCATCTGAGCCCGAGGCTTCATGGAGCAGTGATGTCAATCCCACAGAATCCCCAGAACGGTTGGACCAATTCAAAAGCTCCTGTTTTCTCCAGCTGAGGATGACATTGACTGGGGACCTGAGCTCAGTGGAGGAGGTTAGAACCCATTTTTTTTTTCTTTGCATAGTTTCTTTCTCTCATTGCACACAGGAAGCTACAGAAAGGCCTAGAGGCCGACGCCCACTTACAGTTAAAATCCCAATAAATTCTAGAAAATTCAATGTGGGTGGATGGAGGAAGGAAGGAAGGAAGGAAGGAAGGAAGGAAGGAAGGAAGGAAGGAAGGAAGGAAGGAAGGAAGGAAGGAAGGAAGGAAGGAAGGAAGGAAGGAAGGAAGGAAGGAAGGAAGGAAGGAAGGAAGGAAGGAAGGAAGGAAGGAAGGAAGGAAGGAAGGAATAGACTGAGGGAGGGAGGGAGTGGGTTTGTTTCTTTTAGGACTGAACATTATTTTAGTCCACCAGCTCTGAAGAGAGGCACTCCCACAGCATTCTGCTGCCACCACTATGTTTCCACCAAGTACCTTCTTTGAGGTGTTTGATGTTCCCCAGACTTTGTTTGTTACAGACTATCATTTGTTGTGGTTTTCCGACAATAGTTCATCTATTTTTTGCCACCCTTTCAAAAAAAGGCGAGACTCGTGGTTTGACCTGTTAAAGGCCCGTTGGCTCTCATCTGATCCTCTAACTACAGAGACACCACAGGCCCCATGAAAAATGCACTAGCAGTCTTCATTTTAGCATTTGGTAGTTTAGGTCATTTTAGGTCTTTTGGCAGATTCCCATTTGGGCTCTAATGTTTACATTTTTCGGGTGATGGATTGAACAGCAGAGTCCACGGCTTTGGAATTATTAACGTTGTTGCCTGGCAGTTAGAAGGTCATCTGATGCACCTGATGCTCTCCCTGCACGTGTATGAAGTCACTCTACTCCAGCTCCCCCACCACTCTGTAAAATGTCTGATCTGATTGCTGTTGGAGGAATAGGCATCGGCTGATGAGCCTGTATAGACAGATTAAACTTTCTCTCAGCTCTGTCTGCTGAGCTCCTCGCTCTTTACGAAGCTGCTAATTTCCTGATGTTGTTTAACGAACCTGCAAAACAGCCAAGTTTCTCCTGGGATCCAGAGAAACAGGTCATCTGCTCCGTCTCTGTCTAAAAGTGCTGCATCCATTTAAACCTTCTTCTGCTCGGAGCTCGTCTGCCTGGCTGTGTGTTTCCTGGACGGGGCCGCCTTTTACAGCTGCTTTTTGTATCTCTGCTTCTGTCTCCTTGAACCCCAGTCGGCCTCAGCAGATGGCCGCTCACACTGAGCCTGGTTCTGCTGGAGGTTTCTTCCTGTTAAAAGGGAGTTTTTCCTCTCCACTGTCGCTACAAGCATGCTTAGTGTGAGGGATTGTATTTGAGTCAATGAATCGATGCAATCAACTGGTTTTCCTTAGATAGAGAACTTTGAATCAATTTGACTGGATGATCTGGTTGAACTGTAAAGTGCCTTGAGATGACATGTGTTGTGAATTTGGCGCTATATAAATAAACTGAATTGAATTGCTTCACGGCCAGAGACACAGAAAAGATGCAGTGAATAGATGGAAGTTTGTGTTGCAATCAGAGTCCAAATTCTATTTCTATTTATTACAGGAAACATTGTATAAAACAATATATTTGCATTAAATTAGTCTTTCTCACTGTGAGAAATAGTTCTGTTAATATTTCTTTGTTTTATTTGTAAATAATAACTTTGTTTTCACTTCAGGTGAATTTCCAACTCCAGCCTGCCAGAGTCTACATCGAGGACACCTTTGTTTACTACATTAAGACCTTGTTTGACACGTACATCCCCAGCCGGCCAGAGGAGTGGAGAAAGGAGAGGGAGCCTCTGATTCTCCCTGAACAGGTGGGCTGCTCATCCAGCTTCCTCTGCTGCTGCCTCTCTTTGTCTCATAACACCTCAGGTTTATGTCAACCTTAAGGAGAGCAGCCATGTTCTCCAGAGGGGCGGGACTAAACTGTGATACTCGTCATATCTCCTGTCTCCAGGTGGTTCAGTCCGTCCAGGCGCTGGTCCACCCGGTGCGGCTGCAGAGACTCACCATCCAGCCGGTCCAGCTGCTGGTCAGCATCCACGCCTCCCTGAAGCTGTACATCGCCTCCGACCACACGCCCTTGTCTTTCTCTGTGTTTGAACGAGGGCCGCTCTTCACCACCGGCAGACAGCTGGTTCACGCTCTCGCCATGCACTACGCCGCTGGAGCGCTCTTCAGAGCCGGTGGGTCTCTCTGGGTTTGTCACAGTATCAGATTGACTTTGCTTTGTTCCTCAGTCCTGATTTACTGTCAGCTGCTGAGTCATGGTTGGTCATTCGTTTGAAGATCAAGTGTAAGTCGACATCTTGGGACCCGTACTGCTGTCCAGTCAGAGCCTCCAACACATGGTGTGATTTATCCCCGTCAGAAATGACTGCTGCAGCAGCACGCCTTCTTCCCCGCTGTCTGTCATTAGAGCCCTTATTTCTGCTCGTATTTCAGCACATCACCTCACTGGCGTCTTCTCCTGGAGTCATCAAAGACAGGCAGGCTGTGATGGCATTGCGCTCTGATGCTGATTAAGAGGAGAACACAGTGATCTCACATCACACGCTCCAGCCTGCGAGAACATAAAACCCTTCCAGAACGCTGGAATCTTCTGACGCACCAAAAGTGTCCATGTGCGTGTTTATTAGCAACGATCAGCCCTCTAAACAGTGTTTTCTGTTTGACTTTTCACTTTAGCAAAACCACAACTCTTGAGCCCCTATAAAGCAGGCAGGACCACTGGTTCCCACCGGATTTGGTTTCCTCCCATTAGAATCCATCACTCCAGCACAAATTGACAGAGGAGCAGGGCAGAGCAGGGGCCTGGCGTCTTGAGAAATGGCTGCTTGATTTTTGCGGTGCAGTTCTCAGAGCATAAATATCAGCGAGCCGTGCCATCTGAGCGGGACTCTTCTGGATGAATGAGGGAGGTGAGATAGTAGGAGGCCGTAAATCTCAGGGCGGCCCTCGCATGATTACATGCAGGTGTAGCTTTATGCGTGAAAGGTTTTCTAGCTCTTTGTATTCCTGAGATAAGCATTTAGAATGATTACTTCAAATTGTTTTTGGCAAGAGGAGGATGGTAAAGGAGGGTTTTTTTTAAAGGCACGCACATGGTATCCTCATCCAACAGGAAATGTTGGAGATGGATTTCTTTTCTGCTGGATTCAAAACTTGTGTCAGAAGTTCGAAACGCTACAGCTGAATTTGATTTGAAAATGATCCTTTATTGCATAATTGAGCCTCCTGTTATTTAAAATTTAGATATTTGTCCAGAGTCCAGGTTTTCCAGGTTTACTGACTGTGAGGAAATGTCTTGGCTTAAGAAACCCATTTGGGGATGACTGGGAATTTAAAAAAACCACGAGGATGAGGAAAATATGCACCAAGAATAACGTGGAGGATTTTTAATCTCCAGGTTTTTGTTCCTCATGGTCCTGCTGTTCCAGTTTTCTCTCTTTGTAGAACAAAAAGATGTAAAAGAAACTGCTTTATTTATGTTTTACTTTGGCTTGTAATATATTCAATTCAATGCAGTTTATTTATATAGCGCCAAATCACAACACATCTTGTCATCTCAAAGCACATTAGAGAGACAATTCAACCAAGATAGGTTCAAAGTCTTCTATCTAAGGAAAACCAGTTGATTGCATCAACCCACAGCAGTCACTCACACTAAGCATGTTTGTAGCGACAGTGGGGAAGAAAACTCCCTTTTAACAGGATGAAAGAGTGCACATACAGTTAATCACAGTAAGAGAAACAGGACTACTGAAAAAACAGGCCAAACAAAGGTGTTGATGGCAGCAGCACAGCTGATATTTCTCTCCAGGATGGAGTCACAGCCAAACAGGAACAGACCAGGTGAAGCTACTTTGATGAGAGAAAGCAGAAAGAGCAGAACGTTAGAGATTGAACTAATAGATTCTGCAGAATTAGAGAATAGAGATAGAATGAAGCAGAATGATGTAAAGGGGTCCCTATGTCCTCCAGCAGTGTAAGCCTATAGCAGGACTCTGCTCTTGCTCTTTTTCAGCTTACATGAACTCCAGGCATCTATTTGATTTATTTTGGTTTTGTTCATTAAGACCCTACTGTTACAGAAAGTAACTAACCTTTAGCCTCTGCAATTTCCTCCACACTGAAGGTGCTGAACAGGCACTGTTATGGCTGTGTCTGACCAAGGACCAGGCAATAGCATGGCAAATATAGCTAAAAATAAGTAAAGATTTCTTGAAATGGGCTTTAGTTGAGCTGGTAAGTAAAATGATCCACCAACAGGAGGATTTTGGCTCACTTTTTGAAGAGTCACTAGAAAGTGTTGTTTATGCTTACAGTTTAGCTTAGAAAATCTGCAAGGATTTTCTATAAATATAGCATATCCTGGAGGAATTATCCTACTCCTGTATCAGAGAAAAGCAACAACAGCTACACAAATGCATCGCACAGCATAGGAGAGTACATTTCAGCTCTACACATGCTTCTCATCAAATGACCTCTTTGACAACCAAAATGTTCAGATTTTTGACAGAGAGGACTGATGGTTTGAAAGAAGCCATTTTGGTTAAAAGAGGAAACCACTAACTGAACGATGGGGGGGATCCTGGAGCTCAGTCCTTCTTAGCCAAATGCAAAACCCATAACTGCAAAAGACTCCAACAACTTAACACAATCCAAGTCAGATTGTGCTTAGAAGGATGGGCCTCCATGTCTCTTCAAAACATTAGCGTTCCAACTACAGATTGTTCTGGTGCGAGTCAAGAGAGTTGCCAAAGTGCTTCAGAAAACTGAGCAAAAGTCTAGTTGCCTCTGATTTAAGCCTGCACTGGAAAAATGACCTAGAAATAAGTAAAAATGTCTGAAATCAAGTGTCTTTACTCTTAATTTTAGTAGGTAAATAAGATAGTTTGCCAATGGAATTAGTATTTTTACTCTTAAAATAAAAATAATTAGATAATATGCACTTGAAATAAGACAATGGAATTGTGTTTTCTTATTTCAAATGTAAATTGTCTTGTTCCATTGGTACAATGTCTCCTTTACCTTCTCAATCTAAGAACAAATGCACTTATTTTAAGAAAAGAGGATTTATCCAGATTTCTATTTTTTCCAGTGTGTTTTTTTTTTGTTGCCATGACCAGGATGGGAATTTGAATGGGCGCTCTGTTTCCAGCTGATTTTCTCAGATTTTAGGGTTAAACTAAACCCTCTCAGGTTGTTTAATAGACTCAGGCGGAACTGATGGCTTTCTGCTCTGCTCTCCGTCTCAGGTTGGGTCGTGGGATCTCTAGAGATCCTTGGAAGTCCCGCCAGTCTGGTGCGCAGCATTGGGAACGGCGTGTCCGACTTCTTCCGCCTTCCATACGAGGGCCTGACGAGAGGGCCCGGGGCCTTTGTCAGTGGGGTGTCCAGAGGGACCACGTCCTTTGTTAAACACATCTCAAAAGGTGATAAAAAAATATCTTCTCAGTTCTTTTTCTCCTTTTTTTTTTTGATTTAGTTTCTTTTTAAATTTCAAAGAGATCCACATAACTTAAGCTTCTGTATTTGGGTCAGGACACATTTATTCATTTGGACTCTGTGCATATTTTTGTAATTTAGCTTTAGTTTTTTGGTAGATAAGAGGATTTGCTATGAACTAAAACCATAAGTCCTCTAACTGTCTTTCATTTCTTAAATTCCTGCAAACACTAAATGCTGAAAGTAAATTTTCCCTCCAGGCACCCTGACATCCATCACTAACTTAGCCACTAGCCTGGCGAGGAACATGGACCGCCTGTCCCTGGACGAAGAGCACTACACCAGGCAGGAGGAGTGGAGACGGCAGCTACCGGAGAGCCTGGGGGACGGACTGAGACAGGGTCTGTCCCGACTCGGGATAAGCTTGTTAGGTATGCGGACACACACTGCAAAAAATAGAAATCTCAATAAGTTATTTTTTCTTAAAATAAGTGTGTTTTTCCTTGATTTGAGGAGGTAAGTAAGACACTTTGCCAATGGAACAAGACAATTTCCTTTTAAAATAAGAAAAAACTATTTTATCGTCTTATTTCAAGTAAATATTATCTAACTATCTTATTTTAAGAGTATAAATACTCATTCCATTGGCAAATCATCTTATTTACCTGCTCAAATTAAGGCTAAATATACTTAATTTAAGCCATTTTTTACTTATTTCTGGATTGTTTTTGCGGTGCAGGGACAGGTTCCCATGCTTTTCTTTCAACCAGCGTGTTTTTTTTTTCTTGACGTTTGTGGCCGCTCAGCATCAATACTGAGAAAGGCATTTTTTTTTTTTGTTCAGCTAGTTATTTTCCATTGCCCCCCTGCTGCAGCATTAGGTCACCCAAACCAGAGAAGAACATTTTCTCCCCGCTGTCCAATAAAACACAGCAGCACATGTGTTACAGAGTGCAGTGGGAGCGGATAAACACTGAAACCCAAATCAGAGCCACAAATTAACACGCTGTGCTGCCATCGTCGTCAAACAAAGCTTCTATCTGTTAAAGCCCCCGAGGTCCAATCAGGATGACTCCTCAGACATGAAACCATATGGAGTGAATTTTCTTCCATTATTGTTGTCAGAAAAGAACCCGCCTTATGGAAATTTGAAAAATATGTAATCCAGAAATGAAACATGATCAAAAATATTTTTTAAGCATAACTTTGCTGTTTTCTCAGATTATTTCTTTTTCAAATTATTTTTATGATCAAATGTTTTTAAAGTAATTTTTTTCCAAATACACTTTTTCAGATTGAGTTTAACAAATTGCATTCTTTTGAAACTGCGTTTTATAGATAACATTCTCTTTACTTCAGCGTTTGTATTTTGATTTGAAGTGAAGACGAAGCAATCTGTGAAACGCAATTTAATAAGATTTCAGTTCACAAAAGATCAAAGAGTTTGTTTCTTGTTCTTGCAGGAGCCGTAGCGGGCATCGTGGACCAGCCCATGCAAAACTTCCAGAGGAGCTGGGAGGTGCAAAGCTCAGCTGGGAGCAAAGCGAAGGGGGTCATCTCTGGAGTGGGGAAGGGGATTGTGGGCGTGTTCACTAAGCCCATTGGAGGAGCCGCTGAACTCGTGTCCCAGACTGGATACGGTGAGGCAGATAAGTTCAATACTTAAAATAAATCATCAAATAAATAAAATCGTACACATAGGCCAAAATTCATCGTGAAAATGCATACAGTGACAGTGGAGAGGAAAAACACCTTTAAGTGTATATTGTGCTATTTTTTTCAATCGTTGCATGCAGCTACAGCTCACACTGTACCACGAAACTGCAGGGTTTCGTCGTACAGCGTGAGTTCACAGCTCACAATGTGCGGCCCGACGCTTTGATCTACCTGCTCACACTGTACATCTAAAAAGCACATGGGACTCAGCTCTGCAGTGAGATGGCGCTACTCTGACTCGTCTATCCGGAAGCCAAACGAGTGGAAGAGGAAAATGAAGCTAACTAGAGTGAAACGCGCCGCCTTGGCAATTTGTGCAACTTTGAGCTGAAAGCCCTAAAAAGAAAAATTAGACTTAGAAGTGTAGAAACAGGATTCATAGAGTTAGAATAGCTAGATCCACGTTCAGACTGAGTCACTTTCTGCTCTTAATTGCAGTCTTTCTGTGTTATTTTCACTTATAGTTATACAGGATACAGTAATAACTTACGGCTGAATTTCCCTCCTGTTATATAAATGAAAAAACTGCTGTGTTTTTTTGGACCACACATTCGGCTGCAAAGTGAAGTTTGGCCCTGGAACAATTTATTTAGCCAAGCTCCAGATATGCGAATTATGTAAAATGTTCTGAGGAGCCCGAGGCAACAATAAACACGTCCGAATTAGCATGTCAGGAAAATCACGAATCCGTCAGCGGGTCGATAGTCCCTCCTTCGCTCACATCTCAGCCTCACACAGGAGGCAAGTGTTTATTAAAGCTGGACCCTGGAGAGAGCTGCCGAAAGACCCCCGACACACACGCTTATGTGCCTAATCATACATGCACAAACACTGGTTGGTCCAGGCGGCTTCGCTCTCTGGAGTTACTTAGTGTTTTATTAGAGAGCAGGGTTTGAGTGAGGGTCAGTGGCTGGTGTGTGTTGGCGCTAACAAGTCCTGGCTTCAGCACATAAACCGCCAATGAGGTGAACAGCTCCATATAAGACCGATTCCTCCCCGGAGCCTGGCTCTAATCTGCCTGACCCTCTGAGCTTAACAGATTACAACGCATGAAAACAAACTTCAATACACACACTCACACAGAGCTGCTGCTAAAAGGTGCAGAAGCTGACACACAGAATCATCTACTAAGTTGTTATTCTAGTCCCACTAAAACATTGCAAACAGCCAGGGTATCGCCGCTGTGACATCAGTAATGGAGTCCGCTGTTTTCTTTAAGGATCAGCTCGGACTATTGGGTGACCTCACCGGCTTGTTGCTGCAGTGCTGACATAAAGCAAGCTGAAAGAGATCTGACCGCATGACTCTGAGTGGGCATATGGGCTGTCCAATCCACTTTGCATCTAGAGCACTTTTAAATAACACTATGCTGCTCAAATCAAGGCAAACGCATTACAATGAATCACATGTAGTCTGATACTGGGAAGCACATACGGGGTGAGATAACCAGCAATAAAAACCAGGGTCAATTTGGGAATAAACGTGAATAAATTTAAGATTTAAAGTTACAACTTTGCAAAACTTCAAGTACAAAATTAACATCATGTTACATTCCTCACCAGTTGGTGGCAGTAGTGCACCTGAGGGTTGTTCACCAACCAGCATCAAACAAGGGTTGAAATGCAAAGGTGTGTTTCAACTACGTGCTGCACTGTAATCGACCAAAATCCCGGACGATTTTGAAATTCCCCCCGAACATTTTTTTAGTTATGAAAAGTAGGACATGTCTGGGAATAAGGACGTCTGGTCACCTTACCATATCAACTATTTGATGTTTTAGTGAGTGAGTGCCTGTTGCCATGATGCATCTTTGCTCAGCAGCTTCGCTCGTTGTAAACCAACCAATCAGAGCACAGCTCATCTAAATATTCATGATCATAGCATAGAAAACCTGTCGTTCCATTCTGGGGTTTTTAACCATTAGGGCTCATAGAACAGCGAATATGCCATTTTCAGCCCAACCAATGTTATGGACCCTATTCAGAGACCTTAAGGACCAAATACTCTATAGAATCATTCTATGACCCCTTTAAAGCTTTAAAAACAACACGACCTTGAAATCCAGATGCAGAATAGTTGAAATGTGCTTTGGATTTTCAAATCCCATTAAGAGCCATGCCGCACAGTTCTGGACGTACTGCAGGTGGTAAAGTGTGTTTCGGTTTATTCCCATAAACAAATCATTGCAGTAATCCAAATGAATCGAAATGAAAGCCTGGATGATCTGCTCAAGATTCTTAAAAGATAAAAAAAAAAAACTGTTTAGGTTTGGATTAGAGGCTGAGATGATGAAAGGCTTTAAAGGTACACTATGCAACCGGTGTTGATTTTCCAGTGAGGCTCCCCCCAGAGGGAGAAAGTAAAAGTGCACTGTCGTAAATATGCACAGCTGTTCTCCTGGTTTCTCCGTCAAGCCAGGCGCGGTTGTTTTGAGCTTAGCAGACAGGCGAACGCAACGAATGACTAAGCATCTGACGCGCCGCAAACGCGCTGCTGCTCGAGATGGAAAAATTGAATTTTTGCTGCTCGACGCGCCGTGTAAACCAATCAGAGAAGCTGATCTGGGAGCTGGCAGGGAGAGAGACACAGCGCTGATGATCAGAGGCCTAAATTAACCTAAAATGCAGAAATCTGCCGGCAGAATATGTTAGCTTTTATTATCCTGCTGCATGCAGTTTGGATTATTTAGATGAAAAACACCTACCAGCTGCCGCGGTGAACCGCGAGGAGGCGACCCGGCCAGAGGCTGCTGATGAAGGGATTCCTACTGTCAGCGCACCGCTGGTATGTGGGGGTCTGAGCGGCTCCGACAGAAAAAATATTGAAGGCAGGATGATAATCTGAATGAACTGACTGCACTGATTACGTTTTCAGGTGTATTTTCTCACTTAAACACATATTAAAACTACTTTATTCCCACTGATCACAGCAAATATAGCTGCAAGGCAGAGAAAAGGATAGTGAAGCTCCGCCCAACGCGCGTCAGACCCACTCTTGCACCGCGCAGCCAGAGCAGCAAAGCTGCTTCAGCCGCGCATCAGAACTAACTGGTACAAGCAGTAAAAATGAAGCAGCAGACGCGATTTTGCTGCTTTTGCTGCGTCCGGTTTGAAAGCAGCGCTGCACAAAGACCGCCACTGTGCTAGCAACGAGCATGCTTTTAACTGGGGGCGTGTAGCAGTTCTCGCCGTAAAGCAAGACTGACACGAGACTTCTGAGCCTGTGGGTGCGGGTCGGTGCTCCTGCAATTGCAAGTGCGGTATTTCCCCCACAGACCACCAGGGCGGCCGAGAATACCTTTGTTCAACCTGAAATGACTCATTTAATCATCCATAACGTTATGGAACACATTAATTAACTGAAAAATGTTGCATAGTGTGCCTTTAAGGACTGCATCGATTTCTATTTGGAGTTTAAAATGTTTCGCTTCCTTTGAAACTTAAGAGGTTTTAAGCCAAACAAAGTAAGAGTGTCAGGGAGCTATTGCGAGGCTTCCTAATTGGCATAAAGATGATAGAAGACGCTATGCTTCGCAAAAAGTTGACAAAGAGGAAGAATATAAAGTATGAACCGTATATGAGCAAGGATAGAACCCTGAGGGACTCCAGAAAAACACAGATATTTAATATTTTAGACTGAATTCATGCTGAAGTTAAACCACCGTAACCAGAGCTTTTTAAATGTGTGTAAAAATGTACCAATGTGAGACTTGTGCACTGATGCTAACCCTCCTTGCTGTGTTCAGGGATTCTCCATGGAGCAGGCCTGTGGCAGCTTCCCAAACAGCTCTACCTGCCTGCAGAGGAGAGGTCTGCTCAGGCCTCCAACAGCCACCTGAAATATGTCTGGTATGACCCTGAAGCAGTCGCTGTTTTTAAACTTCCACATCTTTACTGTCGCTCTGCTCTTTATTCTAAGTGGGGCATGACTCTGAGCTGTTCTTGGTTTCTCTCCAGGAAATGATGTATTTTCCTCCCTCACCCATCGTCATTTCCACTGTTTGGTTTACTTGATATTTTTTTTTATCCCACACATGGTAGCCACTCTAACCCCCTGTTCTCATCCAGCCGTGTTAAAAGGTTTTTGTAAGCACTCAGCCAGAGCCATGAGCTTTTCAACCGTTCGTAGGTGGTCGTCTTTATCATTATGGTAATGAGCTGGAGTTGCTTAAAAGTTGCTGGATTATGGGGGTTTAATACAGATCCAGTTATCTGTTCGTTGACTTGTGAAAGCTGATTTTCCAAGCAGTAGCAGAAACACTTAAGATTTATGAGGGATATTTTTACACAGAAAAAAACAGAGAAAAAGCTTTTTTTAAAGTTTTCTGAAGGGATGGGTTTAGTTTCCATAGCTATCAAACAGTCCATGTTGTCGATACATGGAAACATTCCTCTCCAGCTGTCATCAGCAGAGCGGCTTAGCGGTGTGTTTATATAAACATCTGATGTCCTCTAGTATTTTATTTGAACCGCGGAGCCGTCAAACTGGCTTCCATCGAGCATTCATCACCCACTTTTACAGCAGCAGGTAGTCCATACGTCTGAGAGCTGTAATGCTGAGCAGACCCGAGCAGCGCTCGTTTCAACATCTGTGAGCACCTGCCACCCAAAGTAAACACTGTCAGAGAAACATGGCGGAGCTGAGCGCCATGTCACACGGAGATGAAAAATCGACTAAATTAGAGGACGGATGAAGGCTAGTGGGTCCCCTTCCTGCGTCCGTAACACATCAGGAAGCGGGAGCGATATCAGATGTTTGGATCGCCATCATCTGTGTTTAAGAGGCGTACTTTCTAACTAAATGGAAAATATGAGTGTTTTAATCAGCCCAGTGTGTTCCTGGGTGTGACAACAGGAAGATGCTGCAGTCTCTGGGGCGCCCGGAGCTCCACATGGCCCTGGAGGTGACTATCGTGAGTGGGTCGGGACAGGAGCACGCCGGCTGCCTGCTGCTCACCTCTGAGGTGCTGTTTGTGGTCAGCCTGTGCGAGGACACCCAGCAGCAGGCCTTTCCCATCACTGAGGTAAAGGAACGTGGCTCCACTCTGAGCTCCACTCGCCTTCTGGGGAAGATCTAACCTCTCATGTTGCGCAGGTGGAGTGTCAGCAGGAGCCGGAGCAGCAGGGCCAGCTCACCCTCACCTTACAGCAGCAGACGGTTAGCAGCGACTCTGAGGTGAGCTGCACAGCGCCACCTGGTGGTCAATGGTTGTCAATTCATATGGCAGACATTCAGATTTTAATCTGACTGCTTATAACAGGAAAAATAGAAAAGTATTTAAAGTGTGATTGTGAGGAAGAGTTTGATTGTTTAAAAGCATCTGAACTGTCGATGAGAACTGGGTTTGATCCCAGTTTGGAACAGTTCAGGATTTCTAAACCTTCTGTTGAAATATTTAAAGGGGTTCTAGCTGCTGTAGATCTGTGACATCCAGGAGAAACAGAGACCAAAGCTGCTGTCTTAAAGGAATAGTACACCCAAAACATGATTAGCCTTCATTTTCTACTCACCCCCATGCTGAACAACACTCTGGAGTACTTTTTTGATATCTCAAATGCATCTGGAGATCTGGGAGGCTTCTTGCTGTCTGCTGACATTCAAATAATGGAGGTCTATGGCGCCCGAGGCAGAAAGGTCCATAAAAGTCCACAAAAAACGTGTCAATATTCCTCCATACTGCTTGTCCAATGTATTCCAAGTGTCCTGAGTGGGTAGCGTCCATAATTTACTCGAAACGAAGTCATTTAGAATGTTTTCAGAGCATAAACAGTAGTGTATAGGATTTCCTAAAAGCGCGTTCACGAGTCTACGGAAACCGCAGCAGACCAAACCAGATGAAAGTGCGCATTCAGCTCGGCAAAGAACTCATGCTCTTCCTCAACACTGAAGTCCTCAGACATTTTTCTTTCGTTGTTTCTTTCTTTGCACAGGTAAACAGCACATTTCTTCTTCTACGCTTGCATTATCGGCAGAGCAGACGCTGAATGCGCACTTTCATCTGGTTTGGTCTGCTGCGGTTTTAGGAAATCCTATACACTACTGTTTATGCTCTAAAAACATTCTAAATGACTTCGTTTCGAGTAAATTATGGACGCTACCCACTCAGGACACTTGGAATACATTGGACGAGCAGTATGGAGGAATATTGACACGTTTTTTGTGGACTTTTATGGACCTTTCTGTCTCGGTCACCATAGACCTCCATTATTTGAATGTCAGCAGACAGCAAGAAGCCTCCCAGATCTCCAGATGCATTTGAGATATCAAAAAAGTACTCCAGAGTGTTGTTCAGCATGGGGGTGAGTAGAAAATGAAGGCTAATCATGTTTTGGGTGTACTATTCCTTTAAGCTGATCCAGATTATTCACGGTATTCAGCTTTATTTATCCAGAATTGAAGCTATTATGTTTCCATCGGCTGGGATTTTACCAGAAGCCAACAACCTTTATGAAGAATAAAAAACGTAATTTCTGTTTTGATTATCCACCTTAAAAGATCTGTCCTTTAACACTTAGACTCCCAGAATTGTGATCCTACTGAAACTGGCCGTTAATTTGATGCGTGAGGTTTGTCCCAATGTAATGCATGAGTAGTGACGATGTCATCAACTGAATTGGTTTCTTTGCGATATAAACTCATTGTAGATATGTAAAACTAAAAACAGGTCTAATATATATTTTTTAAAGGCTGTGTTGTATGCTCTCATTATTTGTGTCGGGTCCTGGCTAAAGGGGCCTGATGGCAGATTCCAAGACTCTCAGGGACATGGTTTGTTTAATTTAGCAGCAGAGATGATCTAAACCTGGAAGTTACAGGTCTAGCGCCCCTAGTGGCTAATTACCCTTAATTATTTCGTTTTATTTAGTGTGAAGCACTATTTGAGTAAAAGTCCAATTTAAACATGATTGTTTTAATTTATCTTCTAACTAGCTCTCAGCTTTGGTCTAATTTTGATTTATACTAAATGAAGATTGTGAGAGTTTGTCCCTGATGGTGAGATATTCACTGCTGGTCAGTTGGTCATTATCAGCGATGGGGCGAATGTAAAAGTGATTGGTTTTAAAAATAGTTTAATGCCGTTTTAAAAGGCAGCAGCTTCCCTCTTCCATTAGGACTCCTCCCTGATTATTTAAACCGAGATCATCTGAGACCAATATGTTGTCATGACAACATCCTTAACGTTCAGCTGTCAGATCTAACATTCATCCGTCCATCTGCAGAGCGATGGTGTTCGGGAGCGTCTGTCAGAGCAGCAGTACCAGCGCCTGCTGGATTATGTGATTCGAAGCTCCCAGTTCTTCTCGCCCTCCGCCGCTTCGCTCCAGCTTCAGCCTCCAGTGACCATCGCAGAACCGCCGCCGTCTGTCACCAAGTGCTACCGCTATCTGGTGGATCCTGCTTCCGCCAAAGTGTTTGTTAGTAAGTTCACCATAGTGAAGAATAAAGCTTTACGCTTCGGATTCCACTGAGGAGGAGAGAATATGAACATTAAAGTCTGACCTGTGCTTAAAATGTAATGTTTGCCTTAAAAAAAAAAAACTACATCTGTTTATTTTCTAAATAAAACTTTTGGATGTTATCTTCTTATTTAAGTCTAACTGGTCACTCATGCCTTAGAGATAAAACCTTTTATTCTGATATATAAATGTGAGCCTGCAGAGTATTGAACACTACAGCAGATTCATCGGGTCTACGTCCCGTTCTCGATGAAATGCTTCGCTCTGCAGGACCGGCGCTTTCTGTTTACACTCTGAAAATTGTCTCATGCCAATTTTAAAAAGTGCAATATTTTCCAGGCTGATAGATTCTAGAGATACCAGCTGTTGACCAAAAGTTTTAGATGTTTGAATAGAGCCGGTTTGTTCCCAGTGTTCATGCCAAACCCTACTGATGCAAACATGTTGCTTTTTATATTGTATGAAATGTTTTCTGTAAGTCTAAACCCTGGAAACACTTTTAATAATAAAGACAAATCACATTAACCTGAAATGTTTATTTCTAGAGGAGCTAAAACACGAACATAACCACTTTCACAGCAGTCGGCTCAGACTGGGCCAGGACCAGTAGAGGTTACAGACTGGAAACTGCAGCTTTGCTCTCAGTTTACACTCCAGCTCAGATAGCGGTGAGGCTCTTCCTCCATCCTAAAGCCAACGTTGGTCTCACCTAGTTCTGATGCTTTCTGTGTTTAAAACAAAGGCAGAGGTAATGAAAAACGACTCGAGCGGCAGTTGATGTCATCCACTTGTTCACTTACTCTCTGCCGGACTGCTTTGAGGACATTTTTGATGGCAGTCGATCATTTTGCCTTTTACTCGGCGTCTTGATGCTGCAGTCGGCAAAGGAGTCTGAGCAGAAGAGAGTTTCTGTGGTGAGCATCTGTTCCTGCATTTTAGTTTGTCATGTCTAACAAGGAAGGAGCCACTGTGGTTCCATGGAGAGCTGCGATACCGAATCACTGAGCTCCTTCAGTCTGTTTATTTATTCCTCATTTGGTTTTTAGGTGCATCACTGGACTCTAACAAGTTAACAAAGAGAAGACGCATCTTTACAGTTTGATAATTATGGAGTAAAATTTTGTTCCATAATTGTTGCAAGAAAAAAATGAAAATTTGAAAACTTTTTTTTAGAGTAACAGTTGTTTTCTCATATATTATTTAATATTTTATCTTTATTTTTAACGTTTTTGTTTCAGGTTCTCCGATTGAGTTTTACGAATCGCATTCTTTACAAATTGTGTTTTACAGCCACATTGTCCTCACTTAAAGCCCCATATGAGCACTTCTTCTTGGCCAATAAAATGTTGATGCTAACATCAAAGAGACCAATAGGAAAGCATCTTTGATCCAGACTGAAGCCTGAACACCAGAGACAAAGAGAATGTGATCTGGAAAACACAAAGACTGCTCTTCAGAAAACTTCACTTAAGAAACAGAATTTAGAATAAAAATGTAAAACATAAAATCTGTAAAAAAAAAATAAATAAATAAATAAAAATTCATTTAGCAGCACCTAGAGGCAGAGACTGTGTCAGCCATTTTTCAAAAGCAGCAGCCAGATTCCACTTTTGGCTTTCACGGTTTCAAAGTTTCATTTCTAAATTGCTTTTTTTTTCTCCTTTCCATTTAGATAACATGTTCTTTAAGACAATAATGGAACAGACTTCCCCCCATAGATGGATAGTACGCTGGAGAAAAGTGAAATACAAACCAGAGTTTCTGGAGGAGGAACTCTCACTCTGAATTGGTTTCTTCAGTAGCGCCTCCTTCCTCCTCAGACCTGCCATGCACCACAGTGGCTGCAGGGAAATGTAATGAGATCAGATTTGATTTAAAGGCAGCTAATCAATCTGTTAACATGTTTGACTTCTGCTCCAGTTTTCTGGTTGATTATTTAACGCTAGCATCTTTAGTAGCTTTGGAAGGTTTCCACTCTGAACCTTTCAGGTATGTGAAGAAGGGAAGACGTCCCAGATAAACTCTCACTTTAGCAGAATCTGGGATTTTTTTCTTTGGACAGATGTGACCGAGGGAGAAAAAATCTATATCTTGATGAGTCACTTTTTTCTTGGATTGAGGAGGCAAAAGAGACAATTTGTCAATGGAACAAGACAATTTACATTTAAAACAAGAAAAAACTATTGCATTGTCTTATTTCAAGTGCATGTTATCTAATTATCTTATTTTAAGAGTAAAAATCCTCATTCCATTGGCAAACTTTAATTTACCTACTCAGATTAAGGGTAAATACACTTAATTTAAGACATTTTTTTTCTTATTTCCAGTTTTTCCAGTGTACCCAGCATAATAGAGAGAGGGGGGGGGGGGGGTTGATTTTAGCTGGTTTAGAGGAACAAAGGCCACCAGAACCTTTGAAATAAAAAAGGAACTCGAAGTACCGCTCCAAACCTATCGAGTCTCTGTGGGTCATCCTCCCACAGACGGGGGAGGAGGGGGGAGTTCTCTAGCTTCCTGCACCTCCATGATGGAAGAGGTCAACCTGTGAGGTGGCTACACAAAGCCGTGATATGCTGGCTGCAGTTTGGACATTTTTACTCAGGGGTTTACTCACTGATCTCTGTTTATTCAGTGGATTGCTGATTGCCTGTTGGTAGTACAGGGTGGAGTGAAGCCACCGGCTGCCATATTGGTACTCCCTAGTTAGACCTGTCGCAATGTAAACAATACGTGTGCTACAGCATCAAACAATGATGACGATCATTTTTAGGGGGATTAAGACTTTTTAAAATAAAGATAAATACATTATTCGGACACACACTGGCGGTTTCATAGCATAAGTAGATTACTTTAAGTTATGATAAAAAATAGGCACATCACATTACAGTAATTATGAAGTCAATGAAGTCTATAAATCCTGTAATATAACATATTATATAAATCAATCACAATAAAATTAATGTTAATGGAGCATAATAATACAGTCCTGCCAAAAGTGCTGAATTGATGATGTAGATGTAATATACATGTATTGATGACGTTGTAGTAATTACATAAAACATAATTTCAAGATTTTACATCACTGAATTACAAGTACATGTCTGTTAATGCTATATTATTTACTCTACTTTCTATTTTCTAACATTAGACATGTATTCGAGTCAGTCAGAGATAGCCAGACTAATGTTACGCTACATAATATACTATAGGATACATCAGCGTATAGATGGATTTTCTTGGGGAACACACGTTTTTGCAGCCAAATGCTCCACACGTAAGCATTTTTATGGTGCGTCTCGATGGGAGTGGGGAGTACCAATATGGCGGCCTGTGGCTATACTATTTTCAGGCTACCAGCAGTCCAGTGAATAAATAGAGATCAGCGGGTTGACTCCATTTTTGTAGCCAGTGGTCTCGACATTCATGGCTGCATTGCTTTACATTGTTATACAAGCTGTACGCTAATGACGTCACATTATCCAATGAAAAGATTTCTTCCAAAAATTGATTGGTAAGAATAGATCCATCATTCTAACAGTTGAAGAGGCCAAACTTATGAACCAGGACAGTGACGCTAAACACAGCAGGATTTCAATTCAGTTTATTTCTATAGCGCCAATTCACAACACATGTCATCTCAAGGCACTTTGCAATTCATAAGACAATATCGTCAAATTGATTCAAAGTTTTCTAACTAAGGAAATCCAGTTGATTGCATTGACTCAAATGCAATCCCTCACACCAAGCATGCTTTTAGCGACAGTGGAGAGGAAAAACTCTTAACAGGAGAAACCTAAAGTGATTTCACCTCGTTTCATCCTCCCATCAAACCAACATGGCATTGCTTTTCCCCCACTGTTTTTACACCCTGATCCTCTCCAGCTGACTCTTTAGCAGAGTTTGGATCAGTGCTGTTAGATATGTCCAAACCTCTGCAGCCATGATGATGAAATTAAGCTTTACTGGCATAAATAAACAAACCCAGCTCATATAATAAAGTCATTTAACAGCCTTCTCTTTGGGGTAAAAACACAAAATAAAAAAAACATTTAAAATGCATAGCCTACTTTTGACTTATTTTCCTGAGAAAGAGTTGCAGGATTTCTTATCTTTAAAGTCGTAGGGAAACGGCCCCAACCGTTGAATGTCCACATTCTGAGTGGACTTTACACGCGTGAATAAAGCGAATGTGATTGGTAGTTTATCAAGGGGGCAGGATTGTTGAGGTGGAAGGTTCGCAAGCATGTTTGGTTATGGCTGGTTTGTCAGAAGCATCTTGCTGACCAGTTAGCAACTTAGTGCTAGTAGGTTCCCAATGGGAAATTCCATTGGGACCAAGTAGCTCTAAATTGGTGACTTAGAATCGACACTGTCAAGGAACGCTATGGACAGAGGAAACATGCAAGAGGAGGAGAGTTTAGTGTCGGAGGTCGAGGATGAGTCTCCTCCTTTATCCATTTTTTATTTAGAGGAAAGCGGGGACAAATATGTTGTGGAAGAGGACGCCAGGGCGGCAGAAGCTTGGTTTGGTGTAGAAGGCTTCCAGCCGTACATGTTTGAGCCCTTTCCTCGCAACGCTGCCAGTTCTGTTAGCTCTACGCCTGCTGAAGACACAGACGTCCATCCCCGTGAACACTGGGACGGAACTCAATGGGAAAGGAAATGATTCTGATTTCAACTGTTGCGTATATTAGCTGCGACATATTAATCAAGATGCTGTGAGCGAAAACATTTGATTGACAGATGACCGTTGATATATGATTGGACGAATTTAGGTGTTCAGGCTGACGTATAACTAACTGGCCTGCATAAGATAACGGGGGAAAAAAACACTGATTTTAGGACAGGATTTATTTATTTTTTTCAAATAGAAATTTTCTAACTTTTGGGACAATATGGTCTGATAAAGATTACATTTACATACATGTTTAAGCCAGAATTATTTGAAAGTTAAAATTGACTTCCCTACGACTTTAAAGATCAGGAAGCAGCTTCTTACCGGCTGTGAACGCGTCATCAGGTTCTGGCTTTGTTGCCTCAGCAAACTCTTTCCATCCATGTCCTCCAGCTCATCATCGTCCATCTTAACCTCCTCATGTCTCTCCAGTTCCTTTTGTCAAAAATATCCAGGCTTATTTGTAATCTTTTCATTCTAAACTTGTTTCTTAAAAGCTTTTTTGGATTTTATTTTTTCCTCACCTGTGCCCTCAGCTGTTGAAATTTATCCCAAAACTTCAGCAGTCCCCTAAAAACTGAAATCTTCATTTGCACAAAGAAAGCATGAATTATAAGATATTTTATTTTTCTACTGTGTTCAAACACAAGAGGAAACGGTACCTGTGCCTCTCTGAAGATGTAAGGGCCGGGCTGCTGCCGCTGCTCCAGGATGCGCTGTGCCTGATCAGGAAGGATGTCTATCTGGAGACTGGGGGCCATGGAGGAGTTGATGAAGCAGCTGATTATTGTGGAAATCTTCTGCTGGATGATGCCCAGATCGCTGTGCGAATGATAGAGGTCCTGTATTCAGATGATAAACAAAGCATCAAGTGATGAAATCTATATACACACTTAAAAAAAAAAAAACCTTTGATATCTGGAAGGTACGTGGGCCGTGGAAAATAAAGCAAGAGACTGGATCAAGTTTACCTTGTATCTCTGTGCCTCCACCCAGAAACATACGTCATTTTTCAGAAAGTTTCCTTTCAGGGAGACAAAGTGCTGGAACTGGCTGCAGGTGGACGGGTGCAGAAGAGCTCTCCGAAACAGCATGATCTTTATGGTGGAGGTCCACCAGAGCCCAGGCTGCAGACAGGCAGCAGGTAGAGACCATGAAGATATTTTCTGCTGTGGAAAGCTAATATAGTTAGCAATAAAGATCTTTTATTAATGTCGCTGCTAAAACATGGACCAACGTCTCATGGCTGCTGATTAGGAAATGCTTTATTTATAATTGATCATACACTGCAAAAACTGATCTGAAATAAGTTAATTAAATGTTAAAATTAGTGCATTTTCCCTTCAATTGCGGTAAATAAGTTTATCTCCCAATGGGATCAGTGTGTTTGTCCTAAAAATCCGATAATTAGACACTAAGGGCTTGAAAATAAGAAAGCAAAGGTTGTCCTTTAAAATCATTTTACTGATTTGGTAAATTGTTAAAGAAAAAATAGATTTCAAGAGAAATTTAAATATTGATTTTAGCAGGATAATATCTGATTTTTTCTTACCTTCAAAACTGCTTTACTTGCTTTCCTTCGGTGGACTGAAAACCTTTCGGCCGTTTGCAGCTACCACACAGAAACATAAAGGAGTCAGAAATGCAGATTTCTAAATGTCCCTCTGGTTTCCTCTCCGGCTGGAATCGCCTCCCTTTCACCTCCGCTCTCTGATGTTCCTCTGCCTCCCGTCTGCTCTGCTCTCTACCCTCCAACCTCCTTTCACTTCTCAGACATCTTTTCCATCCTTACACTCACCTCCCTTTCCAGAGTGTAAACTTGGAAAGGGAGATGAAGTGTTAAACTTCATCTACCTTTAATTACCTAACGAGAGGATCTGTGTCTCTACGGCTTGTAAACTTGATAACATAATGAGGCAGAGCAGCAGAATCTGCGGTTTATGTGTTTCCGCATAAGTGAACAGCAGGCCAGCGACGGCTTATAGTGTCTGATCCTTTCCTGTGTCTGTTAGAGACGTTTTACAGCCAGAATCAGCCTGAATAAATGAATATCTCAAACATATTTAATATAATTACTAAAGACACCAACCAGGCATCTAATGAATCCCTGAAACACAGCTGAAGATAACGTCACGGCGCAATGAAAAGACTTGACTTTTTCCACCGATAACAACAACTACTGTTTTTTTTTGCAGGTAATATTACAAATGAGTCATCATGGTGAGTCTAACAGTGGGAACCTCTACAATTCTGTTTATAGAGCCCAGATTCGCAGCACAGACAGGCTGGTTGAAAGTTTTTATCAATGGAAAACCAGCTGACTGCATCCAGTCAGTGAGTTTCCAGGATTCAGTCCTCCTGGAAGAGCATCTGATGACACCAGATATAAAGCCCCTGTAACACCTTCACAATTTAGATCTGATAATGCCTGACGTTCCTTCTTTCATCTGAGGAATATTGCAAAAATGAGAAATCTCCTGTCCAGGGGTGATGCTGAGAAACTAGTCCATGCATTTGTTACTTCAAGGCTGGACTATTGTAATTCTTTACTATCAGGAAGTCCACAAACTGTAGTTAAAAGCCTTCAGCTGATCCAAAATGCTGCAGCCAGAGTTCTGATGAAAATTAAAAAGAGAGATCATATCTCTCCTATCCTGGCTTCTCTTCATTGGCTTCCTGTTAAATCCGGAATAGAATTTAAAATCCTCCTTCTCACATATAAAGCCTTAAATGGCCAAGCTCCATCTTATATCAGAGATCTGATTGTTCCTTATGTTCCTAACAGAGCACTTCGCTCTCAATCTGCAGGTTTACTAGTGGTTCCTAGAATTTCTAAAAATAGAATGGGAGGCAGATCTTTTAGTTATCAGGCTCCTCTCCTGTGGAACCAACTACCAGTTTTAGTCCGTGAGGCAGACACCCTGTCTACTTTTAAGGCTAGGCTTAAAACTTTCCTTTTTGATAAAGCTTATAGTTAGAGTGACTCAGGTTATACTGAGATATCTATATATAGTTATGCTGCAATAGACTTAAACTGCAGGAGGACATAGGGACCCTTTTCATCATTCTCTCTCTATTCTCCTACCCTGCAGAATCTGTTAGTTTAATCTCTAAACACTATGCTCTCTCTCTGCTTTTCATCTGGTCTGTTCCTGTTTGGCTGTGACTCCATCCTGCAGAGAAATATCAGCTGTGCTGCTGCCATCAACACCTTTGTTTATAGATGCTGGAGATCGGCCTGTTTTTCAGTGTAGTCCTGTTTCTCTGACCATGACTAGCTGGATGTGCTCTCTTCGTCCTCTGACATGGGAGCTGGCTCGGAGCTCGTCTGCCTGGCTGTGTGTTTCCTGGATGGGGCCGCCTTTTCCAGCTGCTTTCTGTATCTCTGCTTCTGTCTCCTTGAACCCCAGTCGGCCTCGGCAGATGGCCGCTCACACTGAGCCTGGTTCTGCTGGAGGTTTCTTCCTGTTCAAAGGGAGTTTTTCCTCCCCACCGTCACTACAAGCATGCTTAGTATGAGGGATTGCATTCAAGTCAATGAGTCGATGCAATCAACTGGTTTTCCTTGGATAGAAAACTTTGAATGATGATCTGGTGAACTGTAGAGTGACATGTTGTGAACCGGCACTATAGAAATACACTGAATTGAATTGAATCTCTGCAGCTCCTGCTTCTTGGCTTTACATTCTACTTTATGTTGCTCTATCATATCTAATATATCAAGGTTTTAGACAGAGGGTGAGAATAGAGGTTTGTAACACCATGCCCCCCCTTTTTTAAACTTATCTTGAAACCATTGGACTGAATGTCAAATGAAAACAAAAAAAAACACCAAATGTTTTCAGTCATAAACTAAAGCACATAAACATCAGCTAAACTCACTAATGATAACAATGAAAAAGGCTAAAGCACAAAATAAAAAGTAAAAGTGTTTCTAGTTTAAGCATTGACGGGGTGGGTACTAAAGGTCAGAGCGCCACCCAGTGGTGGATCAGTTCAGGATCAGCAGCACATTATGAATAAGGTGCTTTTCTCATTAAAGCTGCCTGAACTCTGTGTGTTTGACTTCATTTTCTATCAGCAGTTAATGTAAGACGTTTAGCACTCTTTCAATAAATCAAAGTGTGAGGATTCGTGATGATCACCTTTTCCTTCTGTTTCTGGCGCTCTCTGAACTCTTCAGTAGACAGGAACAGAGGCATCCATCGCTCCTCGATGTGATTCCTGATTATTTCCTGGATCCCCACCACCACCGGGTCAGAGAAGCGTCCTTCCTTCATGCGCTCCAGTCCACCCACCCAGTGCAGTATCTGCTCAGCAAGAGAAGATGACAGAGACACAAGAGATGGAACGAAAAACACAAATCATAAAAAAAAAAAAAAAAAAGCCTGCCTGCAGAAAACGTTTCCCTCCCTTCCTTCTGCTGCATCCGGCATTTTTCCCACAAGCTTTTCATCCTTCAGATTTCTCTGTTTCTTATATCTTTCTGACGTTTTTCTTTTTATTTGAAAAGTGCACAGCTGCGCCTGCCCTCATTTACTCTCATAAGGCTTTTGAAAGGAGAACCAGTAAGGGAGTGGGAAGCAGGGAGATGAAAGAGGGGCATTATGTGACTGAATGAGTGAAAGGCCAAAGCATTAATATGAGGTGCCCCCAGGGACATAAATCAGAATTAACTTGCATATACACATATTAAATTACACTCTTCCATATAATATACTGAAAACCTCACACAAACACTAGTAAAAAGCTCTCACATAAACTAGTGAAAACATTTACCTCTTATATAATCTACTCAAAAGCTCTCATACAAAGTAGTGAGAACTGTTCATATAAACTGGTGAAAAGCTTTACCTTTCATACACACTACTAGAAAGCTTTCATATACACTATTAAAAAGCTCTCATATACACTACTAGAACACTCTCATATACACTATTAGAAAGCTCTCATATACACTATTAGAAAGCTCTCATATACACTATTAGAAAGCTCTCATATACACTACTAGAAAGCTCTCATATACACTATTAGAAAGCTCTCATATACACTACTAGAAGGCTCTCATATACACTACTAGAACGCTCTCATATACACTATTAGAATGCTCTCATATACACTATTAGAAAGCTCTCATATACACAATTAGAAGGCTCTCATATACACTATTAGAACGCTCTCATATACACTATTAGAAAGCTCTCATATACACTACTAGAAGGCTCTCATATACACTACTAGAACGCTCTCATATACACTATTAGAAAGCTCTCATATACACAATTAGAAGGCTCTCATATACACTATTAGAACGCTCTCATATACACTATTAGAACGCTCTCATATACACTACTAGAAAGCTCTTATATACACTATTAGAAAGCTCTCATATACACTACTAGAAAGCTCTCATATACACTATTAGAACGCTCTCATATACACTACTAGAAAGCTCTTATATACACTATTAGAAAGCTCTCATATACACTACTAGAAAGCTCTCATATACACTATTAGAACGCTCTCATATACACTACTAGAAGGCTCTCATATACACTACTAGAACGCTCTCATACACGCTACTAGAAAGCTCTCAAACACACTACTGGAAAGCTTTCATACACACTATTAGAAAGCTAAAATATATGGTCCCCCTCCTTTAATTTAGCCAAACATTGCTCAAATATCACCGAATCCAGATGGTTTGTTGTTGATGAAGAGAGGAATAAACACAGTTTAAGATTTGCAGCTAAATTAATTTGTTTCCATATTATGGAACTGCTATCAGGCACTTCCCATCATCTTATATCAGTAATAAAAAATTATAAATACAAATTTGATATTTGGTGACTTGACTTTTATTTCTGTCAGGCTGAAGTGAAAAAACTTGGAAAGAGACTGATTCTCTTGGCGTTTAAAATAACAACACAAAACAGCATAAGAAAACCGCATTTTTTATTTTTATTTTACAATTTTGTAAACAACAGCGGCTGATTAAACTAAATGTCTCAACCTTGTATAATTTTACGACTTTTTATTTAACTAAGAAATGATCCGAAAGGCCTGGGAAATGATCAGATCCGCTTATGTGGCTGCAATGCGCGGCCCGCTCCCGACACAGGTGGAACAGATTTTTCACATGGGAACAGAATTTCGCACAACACCGGAAAAGGATCTCTGTTGAAGCAAAAACATAAAAAATAAAGTCGAGTAATGCCCATGCTTCTGTGAGTTGTTTAGCGGATAGCTGAGCATGGATCAATAATTTTATTTGATACAATTTCGGCCGGAGATAGCACAAAATGTACGGAGCTAGCCAGAATGACCTCCGTTTAAAACAACTTGCGGTGTAATGACGGTCCTTCCTGTTTCACTGAAACACCTTCCGTTTCAACTGAAATCCGCTAATAGCTTTTCAGTAGTGTGTATGAGAGCTTTCTAGTAGCGTGTATGAGAGCCTTCTAGTAGTGTATATGAGAGCTTTCTAGTAGCATGTATGAGAGCTTTCTAGTAGCGTGTATGAGAGCGTTCTAGTAGTGTATATGAGAGCGTTCTAGCAGTGTATATGAGTGCTTTCTAGTAGTGTATATGAGAGCTTTCTAATAGTGTATATGAGAGCGTTCTAGTAGTGTATATGAGAGCTTTCTAATAGTGTATATGAGAGCGTTCTAATAGTGTATATGAGAGCATTCTAGTAGTGTATACGAGAGCTTTCTAATAGTGTATATGAGAGCGTTCTAATAGTGTATATGAGAGCGTTCTAATAGTGTATATGAGAGCGTTCTAATAGTGTATATGAGAGCGTTCTAATAGTGTATATGAGAGCGTTCTAATAGTGTATATGAGAGCGTTCTAATAGTGTATATGAGAGCGTTCTAATAGTGTATATGAGAGCGTTCTAATAGTGTATATGAGAGCGTTCTAATAGTGTATATGAGAGCGTTCTAATAGTGTATATGAGAGCATTCTAGTAGTGTATATGAGAGCTTTCTAATAGTGTATATGAGAGCGTTCTAATAGTGTATATGAGAGCGTTCTAATAGTGTATATGAGAGCGTTCTAATAGTGTATATGAGAGCTTTCTAATAGTGTATATGAGAGCTTTCTAGTAGTGTATATGAGAGCTTTCTAGTAGTGTATATGAGAGCTTTCTAATAGTGTATATGAGAGCTTTCTAATTGTGTATATGAGAGCGTTCTAGTAGTGTATATGAGAGCTTTTTAATAGTGTATATGAAAGCTTTCTAGTAGTGTGTATGAAAGGTAAAGCTTTTCACCGGTTTATATGAACAGTTCTCACTACTTTGTATGAGAGCTTTTGAGTAGATTATATAAGAGGTAAATGTTTTCACTAGTTTATGTGAGAGCTTTTTACTAGTGTTTGTGTGAGGTTTTCAGTATATTATATGGAAGAGTGTAATTTAATATGTGTATATGCAAGTTAATTCTGATTTATGTCCCTGGGGGCACCTCATACATTAAAGCTGTCAGTCTCTCTACATCGCACACAGAAAAGAACCGACAGTTCGATGTAAGAACAGCTGTCAGAGCCAACCCCCTACAGAGTCAGAAGCATTAGAGGTGGCTTTCTAATTCTAAAGCTATTTTAATAATTGCTTTGGATGCTTTTATAGGATGACGCTAACAAATCACAAACATCTTGCTCCACAGTTTCAACACAAGTATTTTGTTTTTGTTGAATAAAGCAGAGTAAATCCCTGTGAGGTGAAGTCATTGATTTGGAGCCGATGTTAAACAGTCGACGGGATAAAAACCCTGAAAGCTGCAGAGAATAGCTATCATCAAATAACACCGGTTACCAAGGAAAAGTGGCTGGAGCTCAGTTAATCTCATTTAATTTCTAACCAGATTGTGTTGTTGATTTAGCTGCAGTACTGTGAGATGCCAGAAGAGGGAGACAGAGAACAGAGGAGAGACTATCAGCCTCTACTTACTAAATCTGGTACCTAAATTAAAGATCTATTTGTGTCAATCAGTCTGATTCCCTTCCCTTTAACTTAAATTAGTGGTTTATAAAAATTTTTGAATGAATAAAACCGTTGTCACCTACATATTCCTGTTGCTCTGCTGTAGCAGGGCTATCTGGGCCAAAGAAGTAGTTTTTGTTGAGGTACTTGAAGGCAATCTGAGATAACCTCTCCTTTCTGTAGGCCTTGTCCTTCTTGGAAGTCTTCCTGAAGCGTTCCAGGTCCAACCAACACATCAAATGGATGCTAAAAACGAAAAAAACTCATTTAACTTCCAAACATCTCATATCATCCCACTGCTCGCCGCTTCTCTTACCTTGCATCATGTTTCTGTAAGAAAGCCATGAAGTGTCCGACCTCATCACGCAGGCCGAGTATAGAGGTTAAACGATAACGGCGGGGAGCGGAAGGAGGAACAGATGGAGGAGCAAACATGGACTCCCACTGCTGCACATGAGGAAGAGACTGAGGAGACAGATGGAGGAAAAGTTTCAGTCGGCGTCTGGAATAAATTCAGCTCTAAAGAACAGATGAATCTGTTAAGAGTCTTTATTTGGTTGTTTTAAAATTATAAATACTAAAGTTCACTATGAGGAAAAAAAAAAGCAGATTTATACAGTCGTTTGAATGAAATATGTAAACAAAAAGTATAACCTTTGTTCTATAAACATGTTTATCATACAGTTTATTCCTATTTTTAAATAAACCAGCTCCTGTTTCTGTTTAAATTTCTACTTTTTACCTCTAGCTTTGTTGTTGTTTTCTCCTTTTAGAGATGTTTTTCCCCTCTTCTGCTGTTGAGCTTAACTTTTAAAATGTGTTTGCTTCATATTATCTAGCGCAGGGATCTTCAACCTTTAAATAGCATTTTAGCACCTAATCCAGCTTAAAGCTCTTTTTAGAGCTGCAAATTAATTAATGAATTACCATTTTAAAAAGAATTAATATTGTCTACCATTGAACCACCATTTTATTTCTGTTTTAAAATAAAGAATAAAAACAAGAAAAATTATGCAAAAACATGTTTTTGACCTAATGCTTGCAGACCTGTTTGAGCTGCTGCACCGACGCCTCGTAAAGCTTCTGGAGTTCTCTGTACGCGGGGCTGTCGACGCAGCGCACCTCTTCCTGCACACACACCTGGACACAAACACAGGAACTATTTAGCCAACCTGGTTGGGTGACATTCAGGTACCTGATTTTGTTATTTCTTTTTTTTCCCAGATTTTTTGTTATTTTTCTTTATATATATATATATATATATACATATATATTTATTTATTTATTTTTTTGTGTGTGCAAATTTCTGTTTTCAGATTGAGATTGGCTAACTATATTCTTTTGAAAACATATTACAGACTGCATTCTCTTTACCTAAACCTCAATATAAAATGATCTCTCTTGACGTGCACTTCGGCCAATAAAAATGTGTCTAACATCCATGTACACCAATAGAAATGAGTCTTCACTCTTCTCTCCAGAGGAAAACCCTCCCAGTGAAAAGAATATGATCTGTAAAATGCAATTATTTCTATTTTAAATGCAAAATCTGTAAAATAATGAATAAAGAAAATATTAAGAAAGAAAAAAAAACGTGACAAACTTCCCTCCATAGCTTCTTTGCAGCTCATCTCATGTCGCCTTCTAAACTGGGAAAAAATTGAACTCTAGATAAGTTATTTTTTTCTTAAAATAACTGCATATCTTCTTGGATAGAGGATGTAAAACAGACATTTTGCCAATGGAACAAGACAATTTACATCTAAAATAAGAAAACAATTGCATCGTCTTATTTCAAGTGCATTTTATCTAATTATCTTAGTTTAAGAGTAAAAATACTCGTTCTAGTCGAAAACTATCTCATTTACCTATTAAGGGTATATACACTTAATTTAAGAAATTTTTACTTCTTTCTAGATAGTTTTTTAAGTGTATGTTCCTTAATCCTGATGATTTTGTTTTTAACTAGCGAGGTTTTCATGGATACGCTTGGTTAACAGTATGTTTATAATAAATTAAACACTATTTAGGTGAATTTTAGTTAATAAATGGTTGCAGACTATATTTTAACTTTTTTGAACTCACTTGCCACACTTTGTACATATTTTAATTATAATAAACATAAAAATAATCTTTATTCTTCATTATTTCTGCATTAATTTGTTTCTTAAAAGTGCAGTAGGAGATCTTTTCTGACCCATTTTTTTACCATGAGGCTTGAAGATCTCCCCACAGCCATGCAGCAAGCAGTGAAATAGAAGGTCTGTAGGTCATGTTACCTAGTTCAAAGCCATGCATGTCGTTCATCTAAACATTTTGTCAGATTAGCTCTATACGGTACAAATTATGATTCCCGTGCTATTTTTGTAAGTTATCAAAATGCGATCAGCCAGCAACTACCCAGCTCAACACCTACAAAGCAAGGACTTTTTAAGCTCCCTCCACCTCCACCCCTGTCTGCTATTCTGGCTTCACTTTACGGGTACGATAAGTAATTACGGTATGTTAGAGTAAACATGACTTTGACCATCAAAGCCCATGCTGTCAATGCTTTAGCCACTGTTATGTTGTCGTTAGCTCGTGTTGCCAGCACTCGGTCTCTGCTTTTTTCGTTCTCGATCTCGGAAACATCCGAACACCTCAACAGGCAGCATGAGCGTTCATGTGTTTTGAGGGGTGGTCTGAAGGGAGAGGCATGGTTGTGTATGTTTAAAAATACAGCTTGCTGGAACCGTTTTTCCAAGATCTCCTACGGCACCTTTAATTAAACACATTGAGGTTTAGATTTTTCCTGTAAACCAAGCTAAAAGCTCTAATAACCTAAACTTAAATGCCAAAAAACCCGTTTCGATGTTGTGATTGTTTGTTTTGATACACCTGCTGGAGCGTTTTTTTGTCCCCCTCCATCAGCAGCGTCCACGGCTCCAGAAGGATGTCCAGTGCGTGTTCCTCCACCTCATCAAACAGCTCCTCAAAAGCAGGCTGCAGTCTGTTGTACACCGCCCTCCCGATTTCTGGGGGAACATTAATGCTCCTCCTGGCATAGCTAATAATGTACGTGGAGTAAAGGAGCTGGGGAGGAGAAGAAATGAGGAAACCTTTTGCAAGTGAGAAACATTTTTCTGCAAAACCACAATCGCTTTCTTCATCAGCGTCGCTCTCTGCTTTTACAATACCACGTCCTCTCATCAGAGCTGCCATCACACCACATGAATGTCGCTCGTTTAACCCTCCTGGCCACGGCACAATGGAAACACCACTATATGTAATCCCTCTGGTGAACTAAAAATCAACTAAGAAACGTTTTCAGGGTGATGTGTTCTGGACCGAAACGTTCTTCGTTTGTCTGTGGTCCCAGTATGGTGCAGCACAATGGTTCTGGGTGACTGAGCTGGCCCAAAAGTGTGGGTGGAACTCATTTGTTTTTATGAGAAATACAATTTCTCCACCTAAAGCAGGAGGGGTAAAAGGGCAGAGAGGGTAATGGTGGCGGGGAGGCTCAGTATATTGGCCTAACAGGGATGGAAAATAAGCTTCTGTGTAAACGTAACCAGACGCTGGTTTTATTGGCCTCTGATGTAGAACAGAAACCTTTCATCTGAATGGACAGCTGACCTGTGCCTCTCTCTGCTCTCTGTAGGGGTCCCGTTCATCCTGGTGGAAGAGTTCATGGTACTGCTGTAGGTCTATGCAGAAGTAAACTGCATTTAGCCAGAGCTAAAACCAAACACAGACAGCAAAGGTCACATTATGAGACTTTTTTCCTTTATGCAACATCAGCAACAATTAAATATTCATAGCAATCGAACTGTTTATCCACCATAATAGAATTTAACAACTTTACTTTGGATGTTGTACATTAGGAGCCTTACGCCCCATTTAATCTCCCCTTTGAAAACTGATCCATGCCTAGCTCGGCTCCTTACGACTATTTAAAAAACCACTCTAGCACGGTTCTTCGCCACCTACTGACAATCTATGGTACTACTGCTCCCTAGAGGTAAAAAAGCAAATCAACATGGCGACGCCCACAACATTCAGGGAGTTTGGTTATAATTGTGATATTTCGTGAGTCATGCAAGTAATCCAAGCTGCAGGCACCAAAATAATAAAATAAAACATATTTTGCCTGCAGGTTTCGAGGTTTTAAGTTAATCTAGGCGTTAATAGGGGAGTGATCATAGCACTCTAAACAGGAAGAAACCTCCAGCAGAACCGGGATCGGTGTGAGCGGCCATCTGCTGAGGCTGACTGGGGTTCAAGGAGACAGAAGCAAAAGAAATAGGAATATTTTCTATTTCAGAAAAGGTAATAATAAAGTCTATAGGTGCCTCTGTCTTGGACAGAAACTGTTAGATGAGCTCTGGGCCAGTTTTCATGCCAAAAAGGGACTTAATGAACAACAAATGAAGGAGAGCAGATCCAGCCAGTCACAGTCAGAGAAACAGGACTACACTGATTGGCCGAATTTAGGTGTTCAGGCTGACGTTTAACTAATTGTCCTGCATAAGATAAGGAAAGAAACCCACAGCTTACAGGATAAAAGAAAAAAAATTATATAAAAATAATAAACATTTTCTAAATTTTGGGACAATATCGCCTGATAAAGGGTACATTTATATAGATGTTTAAGCCAGATTGAATTGACATTTAAATATGACTTCCCTACGACTTTCACAGGAAGCCAAAGATTGACTGAGGGAGTAACGAATGGGGCCATGAACCCTCAAATCTTGGTGAAAACCCTGAAGATGGTCTTTGGCATCTGAACACCTGTCAGCTGACAGAAGATTCCTAAAGTTAGCAATAGTTTCCATGTGTGGAGCTTTGTTTCTGCAAACATGAATAAAAATCTTATCTTGAAAGGAGTCAGTGTTCTACTTTAGGAACAAACTAAAATCATAAAGGTGTTATTTATATCTTTACATTATTGCTGCCTATATTCTTATTCTTATAAATAATAATAATTATTTATAAGAATAATAATTATTTCTATACCATCTAAATTACAGCAGGATGCATCCACAGTAAAACCACTGGTGAGTAAAATATCCTAAGGTTTTTGTTTGTACCTGGTTTCCAGCTTGTTCACAGAAGAGTGTGAAATAAAGGCCTGACAGCGACTCAACAAGGAGACACAGCAGCATCCTTTTCATTTCTCCACCTAATGACGAACGACGTGTGGTCGACATCTGACAGAAACACAGAGGAACGCTTTTATTCTAGAAAAGCTTTCGATGCAGTGGTAAACTTCTCTGAACTATGGAGTTAACTTGGTTCCAACACTGTTGCAAAGGACTTGTTTTGTAAATGAAAATAAATAAAATGCAATCCAGAAATAAAAACTTTTCTCTTTCTGACTGAGTTTTAGGAATGTCATTCTTTTCAAATTGTCTTTTACAGATCAGTAAAAAGTCTGCTGGAGGTTAACATTTTTATTGAAGTGAAGAGAATGTGATCTGTAAAATACAAGTCAGTAAGAAAAACATCCCCAAAGCATGATGCTACCACCCCCATGCTTCACAGTAGGGATGGTGTTTTTTAGGATGATACTCATTGTTCTTCCTCCAAACACAGATAGTGGAATCATGACCAAAAAGTTATATTTTGGTCTAATCTGACCACATGACTTTCTCCCATGAATCCTCTGGATCATCCAGATGGTCATTGGCAAACTGAAGACGGGCCTTGACATGTGCTGGTTCAAGCTGGGGAACCTTCTGTCTTACTGTGTTACCAACAGTAACCTTGGAAACGGTGTTTCCAGCTCTTCTCAGTCCATTGACCAGCTCCTCCCATGTAGTTCTGGGCTGATTTCTCACCTTTCTTAGGATCATTGAGACTCCAGGATTCCATGGATCCCCAGTCTGAGGGAGATTAACAGTCATGTTTAGCTTCTATTTTCTAATACTTGCTCCAACAATGCACCTTTTTTTTCACCAAGCTGCTTGGTAATTTCTCTATAGCCTTTTCCAGCCTCATGGAGGTGTACAATTTTGTCTCTAGTGTGTTTGGACAGCTCTTTGGCCTTGGCCATGTTAGTAGATTGATTCTTACTGATTGTATGGGGTGGACAGGTGTCTTTATGCAGCTGACGACTTCAAACAGGTGAATCTAATTTAGGTTAATGAATGAAGCGGAGGTGGACATTTTAAAGACAGACTAACAGGTCTTTGAGGGTCAGGATTCTAGCTGATAGACAGGTGTTTAGATACTTATTTTCCTCTCTGTATAAAAGATGTGAAAAATATGAAAAAGTGAAAACATAAAAAATTAAGAAATGAGAGAAAACAATAAAAAAAAAAAAAAATCAAAATTTTTCAAAGTTTCATTTTTTTTCTACTTCAAATTACAGTTTTTAAAGCATGTTTTTTGTTTGTAACAATGGAACTAAATTCACTCCAAACTGGGGAGCGGCAGCCTAGTGGTTGATCCTGAGGTTCTAAATCTGAGCCCCACTCCCTCAGACTGCCGCTCCCTGAGCAAAGACCCTTAACCCCACTCTGCTCCCCAGGCGCCGCACAATGGCAGCCCACTGCTCCCCAAGGGGATGGGTTAAATGCAGAGTGTGAACTTTCTCCAATGTGAGTTAATACATTTCAATCATTATAAACTTATTAACTGAACATTTTTAAAGTCTGCAGAAATGTGCAAATGAGCTTATACAAGAGAGCAATTCAAGTGTTAATGATTAAAATGAGTAGGTTTATAACCGACTCTCCTGCATACTCTTTACTGTTATAGATAATTAAGATCCTCAGAAATAAAAATGTACAGCATAGAGTTTGTAAGAACAACAGACAGCAAAGAAAAAACATCTAGAGTATTTTTTTCTTCTTTGTTTTTAGACCTACCTGAGTAAAAACAGAAGGAGAGAAAGCAGACAAACACAGATCAGGGTTGAGACTGTCTGCAGATGTAGAGCCCCAGCAGGGCTTCATGCCCGAGAAAGGGAAGCAGCATGTCTCTGTCCCACGTCCCCCATGAACAGACATTGATGTCCAGAACAGAGGAAGCCTGAAGCACAGATGGAGTTAAAGTAGTTCAATGAAGGAAGCCCTTTTAAGGTATAATATTTATACACGTATGTAGTGCAATTCTCATTGCACAAAAATTTACTTTCAAAAATAAATTCTGTGAACCAGACCAGTAGTTGAGGAGGGGCTCCATAAGAAGGGGCTGAACTGAGCGCAGCTTCTCTTCTGTCCAGCAGGGGGAGGTAGTCAGTCCCAATGTGGAGAGCTGCACCACATTCAGGCGTCTGCTGCTGTGCAGATACCAACTCCTCATTACAGCCAAATACCTGGAAACAAACATTACATTTGTCTTTGTTTTACATTTTATTTCAAAAGGTTTGCTTTGACAGAGATAAAAGCTGTTTAAATCAGGTCCTAGTGTTAATGCAGCATTGTTTACCTGTCTTTTCGCTCCGTCTGCTGAATCGCTCTCAGTCTCTCTACATCCATCCACAAATTCAGGAGCTTCTCTGCTGGTCTTCCTTGCAAAAACACCTTGAAGTCATCTAAGCCTGCTCTATTTCCACAGTTACAGCACCAAATCCGAGCACCTGTTTGGGTATTGTCTCTCCTCCCCCTTTCAACTCCTGCTCCATCTATATTTGCTGTTTGTTGGTTTTCTTCTTCGTCTCTCCTGAAGACGTTTGACATTTGACTGTCAGCCTGGTTCTTCAGCAGTTTCTCATCTGCTCTGTGCTTTTCTAATGGACCTGCTGACAGGACAGATAAGGACAAAGAGGAATAAGAAACTGAAGCTCCTTTTATTCCGAAATAATTTGATTCTGGTTTAAAAAAATATATATAAAACTTTTATCAAATACTTAAAAGACATCTTGAGCATAGCCCAGTAGTAGATTCCAGACCCACCTGGTTTAGCTGATTTGTCCTCCAGATAATATGGGCATCTAAGACCCTCAAGAACATTTTTATTGAACCAGTTACTGCAGAAGTTTTGATTCCACTGTAACAAGAGCTTAGAAAGTCTGGAGGGAAAAAAAGGAAGGTTCAGCTGGAACAGAAACTAATCACATGCTCTACTTGCCTGGTTTGGAAACAAACCAACAGTTACTGTTTAATGTGTTTAATGAGTAGAGAGGCGTTTATTCTATGTGCAGCCAGAAACAACTTAAGGGTTTAGTGGTAACAGTATTGAAACAAGCCTCAAATATTAAATAAAACAGTAAAAAATACTGACTATGTCTTCAATAGTAAATGCCTGACAGGTTTAATAAAGGGACACCTGTCACCTGCCATGTTTTTTAATGAGATTCAAAAGCAAAACAAAAGTATAACACCTGTTAAGAATCAATAAAGAAAATAATGGCAAATCTCAGTGCAGGTTTTAAGCCAAAAGCAACATCAGAGGCCAAATAGAGGTTTGCAAAAATACATGAAGGCACCTATCCTGCCTTTGACCTTTTGAGCCAGCCATAATCAGGGATATGTGTTCATCGTCCTTTAAAGTGTATGAAAACAATGTCTATTTGTGCCATTTATTACCTGTATTCATGGTAGAAATCACTCCGAAGGAAAAAGGGAAATCTTTTCTCTTTAATCCACTGAATGCCTTGCTCTCTATCGATGCACTGCAAAGGAGGAGACATTCCTCAGATGATTTCTGTCTAATATCTACGGAAGAAGATTAGGGCCACTGGAAAAAATAAAAAAGTTTACTGATTTTTAAATTTTATTTCAGTTTAATATGGGGAAAAAAGTCAGAATTCTGACTTTAATCTCAGAATTCTGACTTTAATCTCAGAATTCTGACTTTTTTCTCAGAATTCTGACAGATAACAAACATGTTAGCATCAAGCCTCGTCTGTTTTAGAGACTAGCTCTCTTGTTTTAATGACCTTCTGCTCCTCCATTAATGAGGGGACCCCTCGGGCACGTAAAAAGTTGCCTAATTCCGTCATTTTCCACCAATGTGTCAAACAACTCACATCTTTGTCAGTGAAGTCGAGTGCTCCCACATCTCTTCCTTCATGGTGCCCATCTACATTAAGATCCAAAATTCTGAGATTAAAGTCAGAATTCTGAGAAAAAAGCCAGAATTCTGAGATTAAAGTCAGAATTCAGAGGTTAAAGTCAGAATTCTGAGATTAAAGTCAGAATTCTGAGGAAAAAAAAGTCTGAATTCTGAGATTAAAGTCAGAATTCAGAGAAAAAGAATTCTGACTTTAATCTCAGAATTCTGACTTTAATCTCAGAATTCTGAGATTAAAGTCAGAATTCTGAGGAAAAAAAAGTCTGAATTCTGAGATTAAAGTCAGAATTCAGAGAAAAAGAATTCTGACTTTAATCTCAGAATTCTGACTTTTTTCTCAGAATTCTGACTTTAATCTCAGAATTCTGACTTTTTTTCTCAGAATTCTGACTTTTTTCCCATGTTAAACTGAAATAAAATTTAAAAATCAGTTAAGTTGGCCCTAATGCTCTTCCGTAAATTTCATATCTACTTCCAATGGTTTTCTTAAACACACTCTTACTTGGACAGAATAACGGTTGTCCGGTGGCGTCCTGCAAATCGCAGGCAGGTCACCAGAATGCAGCCATGTTTCACAGAGTTTCAGAGCCGCGCTCATCCTCCCGGAGACAATCTGAGCTTCTGGATTAACCACCTCAAAAAGTCCCGATTCCTGATTGTACATCAAAGCCTGTGAGAAAGACTTAGAAAATAAAATGTCATTAGGAGAGTTTTTGCTTTTTAATGCTGAAATCTTTATATTAAATGTAAATTACCGGCAGATTTAAGAACTCATTGAAATAGTAAACCAGCATGCGATCCGATGCCAGAGAGCTCTCCTGTAAAAAGATTACAGTAAATAAAGTTCTAATAAACGCTAAAGTCAGTTGAAATAAAGGGAAACAGAAAAGCGTTACCCACAAGGTTTTCAGCAGTGAGGCAGATTTCTAAGCAGAGAGAAAACCTTATTAGAAACCATCACAAATGTCCTTAAGGGTGAAAAATTAAACATAAGCTCTTACCAGCTGAAGTAACTCCAGACATTGTTCCTACTTTTAAAAAGCAGTCTTCTCGATTTTCTAAAGACAAGCGAAGTAACCTTTAAATTGGGTCTGTAGTTTAACCACAAACATTCCAGGTTGCTATGGACTCATTTTTCAAAAGAGAGTGTTAAAGTTTAACTAGAGTGAGAAGAATCGATGAGTCATGCCTTCAAATGCTAAGGGGGGATACTTCTGGAGGACATAGGGACCCCCATTTCATCATTCTGCTTCATTCTCTCTCTGTTCTCCTATTCTGCAGAATCTGTTAGTTCGATCTCTAACGTTCTGCTCTCTCTGCTTTTCCTCAGAGTAGCTTTGCCTCATCTGTTCCTGTTTGGCTGTGACGTCATCCTGGAAAGAAACATCAGCTGTGCTGCTTCCATCAACACCCTTGTTTATAGATGTTGGAGATTGGCCTGTTTTCCAGTGTGGTCCTGTTTCTCTAACTGTGACTGGCTGGATGGGCTCTCTTCATCCTCTGGCATGGGAGCTGGCTCGGAGCTCATCTGCCTGGCTGTGTGTTTCCTGGACGGGGCCGCCTTTTACAGCTGCTTTTTGTGTCTCTGCTTCTATCTCCTTGAACCCCAGTCGGCCTCGGCAGATGGCCGCTCACACTGAGCCTGGTTCTGCTGGAGGTTTCTTCCTGTTAAAAGGGAGTTTTTCCTCTCCACTGTCGCTACAAGCATGCTTAGTGTGAGGGATTGTATTTGAGTCAATGAGTCAATGCAATCAACTGGTTTTCCTTAGATAGAAAACTTTGTATCAATCTGACTGTATGATCTGGTTGAACTGTAAAGTGCCTTGAGATGACATGTGTTGTGAATTTGGCGCTATATAAATAAACTGAATTGAAATTGAAAAGAAAAAAACTAAATTTTTTCACATTTTTTGTGAAATTACTTTTTTATGTTAATATAAAAATAAAATAAAATCAGTATGACATTGTTGCAGTTCACAGTTGACAGCATTAGTAGGCCATACACTAGCTTTTCTGTCATGTCATCCCGTTCCAGTATTCTGGGTAATAAAATATGTTTATATAGTCCGAAAATATATCACACCAGCAAGCTTACATTAAGTTTCCAAATCCTGCAGTAAAAACAATTCGAGCGTGAAGTTAGAACAAATTTTCCTTCCGCCATATGCAAATGATGTGACTGTTAGCGTCCCACAAATAGTTCCGACCAATCAGCGCTTCCCAGATATAGTTCCGACCAATCAGCGGATCGCGATTACTACGCCACGACGTCAGTGAGGAGGCCGGCATGTAAACAAAGATGGCTGCGCCCGGTAAGCGGCGGCATGGATCGCATGATAAAGATGAAAATCCTGCTTGCTGCATGCACATATTAGATAATTGTATCGAAAATATCTGTGTTATAACTAGAGCTAGATGGGACACCTCAGAAAAATCGCAAAAGAGTGGATATCGCTGAAAGGGAGTGCAATGCCGTGTTGTCGATCGCACACACCTTGGTAGGGAGTACAATGAACTGGAAACACTGCCCTACTATCGTCCCTTTTGTTACAAACGGCTTAGAGACAAACGCCAGAAAAAGACAGCAACAAACACAACAATCAGCTGGTAACGGTGTGTGCATTCACATTATTGTTGAGATCTTCTGTAGCCTCCATAAAGCTGAATATAGGTCATCAATCATGCATTTTTTGTGCCATCATCATGATCATGGACCAGATTACGTACCTAGTGCATGTGGATTGGCCTAAAAAGACGGCAGGCAAGACATGTATGTAAATGTTGTGGGATTTTTTGAATCATTGTCAAAATCTTAGCCTGCCACACAAAGATTGTCCTTCTGATCATGCTGATACTGATCATTATTGACACAAATATATAAAGCGAAAAAGTGTAGGGTAGCAAATAAGACTACACTACAGTGAATGCTGCTGTTTTGCCTTTGAATTTGTAATGAAAAAGTGCATGGATCATAATGGCAAACAGTTTGTTTTGTTCTATAGTACAGCTTCAGTTAGTGAATGATTTAATCTTTGAGAATGATGGCTGAAAGCTATTCATTATTCCATCTTCAATTCAATCTTTACTGGGTATTTCTGTTTCCTTTCCAGATACTGCTGGTCCTTCTCCAAAGAGATTGCGTTCAAAAGATGACATACATGGCAATTCTACCTGAAATCTGTTTTATTTGCAACAGGATCATTTCATTACACGCCAGGGGAAAAGAGTGAAGGATAAGTTAGCTAAAGCAGAAACAGCAAATTGTGGTAGGTTTATATCTTATATTGTACTTGGTGTGCCATTCATTGTCGTGCTCTGCAGGCAGTGATATCTGCACCGTCACCAGATGGCCATGGTGGGAACATCCATGAAAAACAGCTTTCTATCAATCGGATGACCAATGATCCTGCTCCTAAAGAGGCGCTGAAACTTATAAGCTGTAAATGCAAAACAGGACAATGTGATACTAAATGTTCATGTAAATCTTCTAACCTTAAATGTACAGAGTTGTGTGGGTGCAAGAACTGTCAAAATGTTACCGGAGAAGAAGAAATTCTGTCTAGTGATGATAGCGATGATTGTACAATCTAGTCTAAAGATAATGAGACATTGTGACCATCATTGACATTCATAATGATGCCTTATTAGACATTGTAGAATTTATAAATATTTTCTTAATATTTAGTGCAGTGACCATGGTGAGGCTTGTGAAAACCACTTTTCTCAGTTACAATGTCAGAATGAGCAAGGCAGTATTGTTGGATCTTCTGTATTGATAAACCTGCTTGTAATTTTGTTTTATAATGCTGTACATAATTTGGATAATAGAGTATATGCAACATATTTGTTTTTGTTCATAATCTAAACCCGATATGTTATCAATATGAAAAATTAGATCCCGCTGTGTACTTGTTTAAATAGCACTGTGTTGGAAACGATGCTGCTTTAGATTTTGAAATAAAGATTTCTTCACAACAATTGCTCATATCCTCCTAATCTTTCATATTGGACATATGTGGGAATGTTCGTATCGATTGTGAAATTTGAAGTGTTTAGCTTTATTGAGATAATTGAAGTTAAAGATGCTATTGGAGTCCAAAAACTTCAGGAATTTTCCAAATAAGTTTGAACCACTGCTCCAATCCGGCCGATATTCTAAGGTTTGAATATTTGTAGGACCCTCTAAAGTTTGAAGCATGTGGCTTTATTACTTTTAGAGATAATTGGAGTCAAAGATGCTATTAGAGGCTAAAATGTCCTTTTTTCATGCATTACCCAACTTCAAATGACGATTACTCACCAACTGCAGGATGCCCGCTTGTGGAACTTTTTTTTCCAAAGAAGATGAACTATTTTACTTCATAAAAAACATAATAAAAAGTATTACCCAAGATGCTGGAACGGAACTCACTTTCTAGCCACTTTCTGAGAGCTAGCCTATGGCCTATAGATGGCGCCAAATGACAACAGAATGTAAACAAACCAACAGCCACACATTTTGTAGAAAAAAATATGTAATTTATTTTAAAAACAACCTAAACACACACACAATAGTAAAACCTGAAATCCCCCCCCCCCCCCAAAGTTAAAAAAAAAAAAAAAACTTTGAGGTGCATCAAGAAAAATAAATCAGCACCCATCACATACCCATAATTAAAACCACGCATGAAAGAAAATAGAAAAAGTGCTGCAGTAAAGCCTTTCAGTAATGCATACGCCGATTAGAATCTCGCTACAGAGATCTGGGGAAACTTATCCTAAAACACTTGAGAAACCTCCAGATGCCTGGAGTCGACATTTCAGTCACAGTCTTCGAACATTTCGTTTGCTTTCGGCACTTCCTGGTAGCAGGGTGTCCTTCTTACGACGCCCCGCTGACCGACTCCCACACTCTCTGGACCCATGGAAAGCACACAGACACGACATGCAGAACTGGAACCTGCAGTCACCTCTGCTGCACACACCCTCCCCTTTCACTGAGTGACACCTGGCAGGATGCTGACATCTTGGGCAGGGTTTGATGCACTCATCGCTAAAGAGTGTTTTTGCAACCTGGAAGAAAGTGAAAAACAAAAATTAAATTTGTGCCTTAGACTTCTGGAGGACATAGGGACCCCCATTTCATCATTCTATCTCTATTCACCCAGTCTGCAGAATCTGTTAGTTTAATCTCTAACGTTCTGCTCTCTCTGCTTTTTCTCATAGTAGCTTTGTCTCGTCTGTTCCTGTTTGGCTGCGACTCCATCCTGGAGAGAAATATCAGCTGTGCTGCTGCCATCAACTCCTTTGTTTATAGATGTTTATAGATCCTCCTTCTCACATATAAAGCCATAAATGGCCAAGCTCCATCTGATATCAGAGATATGATTGTTCCTTATGTTCCTAACAGAGCACTTCACTCTCAATCTGCAGGTTTACTAGTGGTTCCTAGAATTTCTAAAAATAGAATGGGAGGCAGATCTTTTAGTTATCAGGCTCCTCTCCTGTGGAACCAACTACTTTTAAGGCTAGACTTAAAACTTTCCTTTTTGATAACGCTTATAGTTAGAGTGACTCAGGTTATACTGAGATATCTCTATAGTTATGCTGCAATAGACTTAAACTGCAGGAGGACATAGGGACCCTTTTCATCATTCTCTCTCTATTCTCCTACCCTGCAGAATCTGTTAGTTTAATCTCTAAACACTATGCTCTCTCTCTGCTTTTCATCTGGTCTGTTCCTGTTTGGCTGTGACTCCATCCTGCAGAGAAATATCAGCTGTGCTGCTGCCATCAACACCTTTGTTTATAGATGCTGGAGATCGGCCTGTTTTTCAGTGTAGTCCTGTTTCTCTGACCGTGACTAGCTGGATGTGCTCTCTTCGTCCTCTGACATGGGAGCTGGCTCGGAGCTTGTCTGCCTGGCTGTGTGTTTCCTGGACGGGGCCGCCTGTTACAGCTGCTTTCTGTATCTCTGCTTCTGTCTCCTTGAACCCCAGTCGGCCTCGGCAGATGGCCGCTCACACTGAGCCTGGTTCTGTCTGTTAAAAGGGCGTTTTTCCTCCCCACTGTCACTACAAGCATGCTTAGTGTAAGGGATTGCATTCGAGTCAATGAATCGATGCAATCAACTGGTTTTCCTTAGGTA